AAAGTTGAGTAGCTAATTTTGGCTTTTTTAATATTGTGACTACAAGATTAATTAGCAGATGTAGGTAACTATCTTGTATCCCTTGTGCATGCAAAACACAGCTGAAAGTACATACTGAAGTACCTATAGACCTTTTATAAGGCAAATAATAGTGGTAAACACAGGTGTAACTGCAATGATGCATTCATGTGCCCATGGAAAAGTGTATGCTCCTTCCCTGGAATGCAGCCTTTGCTAACGTGAACAGTGACACCTGTGGTTCAAAAGTTGTTGCTGTGATCTAAACTCACAATGTATAATTTGAACATATACTTTACAATTAAATTACAATTTTCTTATGTAACATTTGTGGACAAACGACAAAGGATTCTTGATTTTGCCACCTTTCCCTAACAGAGTTTGAAGACTAACAAAGGACTGTTAGATGCTCTAATGCTCATGAGCTTTTCTTTGTTAAATGTTAACTTTCTTATGAAAACGTTTTTGTTAATGACACTGGTTGCCCCTGTCAGAATGTACGTTGTAAGAGAGCTCTGTAGCAAAGTCATTAAAGGTACACTGAAAGTGCAAACAAAATATATATAAAAAAAGATAATCCCCAGAGTTGTATTTGAGAAGTTTTATGTTGGAACCATTTTCCTGAATGCTAAATCAAGATAGTAAATTGAGTCACATTTTTTATTTAAATCTGTGTTGATCACAGTGCAGAAGGGGCGGACTACTAAAAATTGGGCTCAGTCCAGTTTCAGCTCTTGAACCAGAAAAGTTTTCAGCCTTCCAGTTATCTAGACAAATGGCGAGAGCAACTTCTGCTAACATTTATACTTCTGCGGATAATTCGTATCATAGCAACCATGCGCAACCAAAGCATCTCAGCTTATAAAACGCTGAGCCTCCAAAGCGTTTACAGCTGTGTTTTCAGATTAGCATCTGTCATTTTCCGACGGGAAACATCATTATTTGGTGGACAAAGGCATTATTTGGCAATACTTAAATCTAAGAAGTAGCCCTATTGCTCTCTACCCTTCAGGAAGCTCTTAGTGGCAGAAAACGCCATGACACTTTCTTTCACCAACTGCTTATTTTACCTGCTAGACTAGAGAGTAGCTCCACAGAGGGTTCATGGTCAGTGCAAAACTGAAAACTGTGTTTGTTACAGCCACTGACTGATAAGCAATATACAACCCAGACCCTCACTGATTTGAAAGTAAAGTGTAACAAAGGTAAACAGCCTGTAGTGATCATAAACTGAAATCTTTACAACAGTTCCACTTCTCCCACTTGTGGATAGAGCTGATAAACCAGCTCGATATCTGTCGCTCCAGTAGCTGCTGCCAAGGATTTATGACTTTGTGTGTCACATACAGTATTGTACACAGGGCTCAATGGCAGGTCAACTATGTCACTGCACAAATGAAGTCTTATATTAGATGGTAGAACTCGCCCTGGAATAATAGCAACAATTTGGTTTTATTTTACATGAATCCCATATGGATTACCATATGGATCTTTTAATAATTAAAGCTTACACTATGTGCAGCTTGCAACAGTTTGGTGGCTCATAAAAAAAATATTTAACATCTAAATAGGTCAATACAGGAATATTTCACCCACAAAATCATAATTTCTTTATCATATGACCCCAATGTTACTTTAATTTCTTAAACCTTATTATTTTGAACAATAAAATGTACAGTTTCACACTTCCAAACAAGCTTTTTTTCAGTGTGTAAATAGTGAAATGATGGGGAGAGAAACTCCCTCTGGAGGGAACTTTGGGATTTTAGCATTTGCAGACCATTTACTTGTACAAAAACCTATAACACACTAAAGCATTATAGGGCCTCTTAAGGACTTTTCTCAATTTTTGGATTTCTTGTTCGTCATGGAGGCATGCAAAACATGTTTAAACATGGGGTGAGTTATTGTTATACAGATGGTCCTTTTGTGGTTGAAGTATTCCTTTACATTCTCATATTATTCTGGTATCAATAGTGATTGCAATATGATCCACATGTTTTTAACACGCCTTTTTGATGAAAAACTGATATCTCTGCCAAACACAGGGAAATTGTACAAATTACACAAATCCCAACTCCCTAATGGACATATTGGTGTCCTTACCTTTGACACAGTGATGGGGACAAACAAAGGCCTCGGGGCACGGGTCTCTTATTGTACGAGAGCCGACACATAAGCAGGGTGATATGGGTGTTCCCTTTCCCAGAGGTTTAAAATGTCAGGGCAGTGCAGGGTTCGGTGGGCCATTGTTGAGGTTCAACTCTGCGGGAATAGACGTAGAAAAAGGAAGAGACTCAAAGTCCACAAGGAGACGGGGAAACATGCGGTGAGTGATATGCTACTCTATTCTGTATTATTTATCTTGCCTTTTGTGTTTATGGTATAAGGTCCACTTTAAGATGTAGTTTAAGAATTGTATGTTTCTTTTATGGTTTATAGCAAGTGTTATTTCAGCCATTTCATGTGACCCTTACCAAATTGTTATTTTTCTTACTGTAATATTGGAACACATATATTAATCGACATTATCACCATACATGAACTTAAACATAAAAACTGTGTATTATTATCTTAGTGACATACATGTTCATCCATGTTCAACTTATTAGTTTATTTCTAAATATTAAAAAAAACTGAATACATGATTTCTTTAATAATCCAAAAGGGAAATCACAAGACACAGTAAATAAAAGACAAATCAGGTCTATGCTCATAATAATATTTAAAAAATCTATATATTAACAAATAGAACTAGATTATAGCTGAGAATAGCCTCAAAATGACAATACTTTATTAATCTCTAATATGTATTGAATACATAGCCAAAATCAGTGATGCAAGTCAGTAATTGTATGTATGAAAATGATTCAACCAAAAGATAGTTTGATTGGATCAGATTGGATTAGTGATTTTAGCAAAAACTCCAGAAAGTTAATGTTTAATATTTCAGTTTTAGTTTTTTAACCTTGTGTTTTCAAAGTTTTCTGAAGGCTACAGGTGGTGATGGACATTATGGCATCTGTCATAGCCATCGTGTCGTGGTTGTCGTTCTTCAGGGTGGATTGATGAGATATACATACAGTAGACAGTTCTGCATTTATGTAATAGGAGTGCCACAGTACTGTCTCTGTCCACACAGAGCCTTCCCCTGAGACACAGACAATAATCTTGCATGGCCTCGAGGGAATATTGACATTTAGATGTTAAAATAATAAGAATAAACCGGGATTGATGTCATTATTCTCACAATTTAGCTCAATTCCTTTCTCGGCCATTGCCTTAAAAAAAAGATTGGGATGAGGCAAAGATGGCAGAAGATGTTGGAGATTTCCTGCATTACTCTGTTATTTATCAAATTAGATCGGATATCTTCTGCAGGTCTCCCTTGAAAAAGAGATCTATGATCTCAAGGGACCAATCTGGTTAAATAAAGGTTTGAAAATCTTTGGGGACAAAGCAAGATATATATGTACAATTTTCAAGTTCAGAGCTGAATGATGCTCCTCACCAATATGTCTCTAGTAGTTGATAAACTACTTTGTTTCTGAAAAACAGGCTACGATTAAACACTCATCACACTTTATCTTTGCCATTACAGGTTTCCACTCTTTTGGCTGATCAGTCTATTTGCAGGGCTGGAACACTGCTGTGCAGGTACGTTTCCTTTAATGGCACTGTCTTTACCCATCACACAGACAGTACACACCAGATTACATAAGCCACCTAGTAGTAGTAGTAGTAGTAGTAGTAGAACCTTTATTTAGCCAGGAAAATCAATTAAGAACAAATTCTTATTTTCAATGATGACCTGACAGGAGGCAAAAGGCTTCCTGAGGGGATGGGGGTTGGGAGGAAGAAAAATAAAAAGACAGACTCCGGGCACTACAGAACCCAGGAGACAACACAATGACACAGAGCAGAGATGCAGGCATAGCAGTTAAACATATAACATATTTAAAATAATACTGCTGTGGTTCAATCAGTCATTAAAATAATATAGAACATTCATCCATTCATTCCTTCATGGCAATGCATACTATAGGAGAGGTCAAGACATTGGTAGTGAGCATCAGGCAAAGCAGCTGCATGTGTGTACCAGGGTGTTTGTAATAGTGTCCCTGAAGGTGCGGGGGGAGATAAAGGTCTTCATTTTCAAGGTTTTTTGTATGATATTCCAGCTATCAGCTGCTGCAAACTGAAAGGTGGAGCGGCCAAAGGATGTATGGGCTTTGGGGATCTTTAGCAGGATGTTTGTAGCTGACCGGGTGTTGTGTGTCGGGGGTGGGCGGAGTTGCAGTAATTGTGTGAGGTAGAAGGGGGTGAGGCCTAGGAGTGTTTTATAAACAAGCATCAGCCAGTGGATGTTGCGCCTGGTCTCAAGAGAGGGCCAGTTAGCCAGAGAGTACAGATCACAGTGATGTGTCCTGTAGGGGGCATTGGTGGCGAAGCGGATGGCGGAGTGATACAGAACGTCTAAATGATCGAGGGCTCCTTTACACGCCGAGCGGTAGATGGTATCACCGTAGTCTAATAGAGGAAGGACAGTCATCTGGACCAGAGAGAGTTTAGCAGATGAAGTGAATGAGGAGCGATTCCTATATAGAAAGCTGAGTCTAGCTTTAACCTTGGTCTGAATTTTGGAGAGATGTTCTGAGAATGACAGATTACTGTCAATCCAAAATCCAAGGTATTTATAAAATTGAACTATTTCGAGGTCCCGGCCATCGGCGGTCACAATAGTGCCAGTTTGGGAGGCACCACTTGGGCGGCCAAGCCACATGATCTTGGTTTCGGTGGTGTTCAGGACCAGGCCAAGGGCAGAGAGATGTGACTGGATTCTCTGAAAACTATCCTGAAGAGTTTTCAGGACAGTATCTGGGGAAGGGCCAGCAGTGTACAGAATCGTGTCATCGGCATATAGGTGGATAGAGGAGTTGCCCACTGATTTCTCCATGTCATTTATATATATTGAGAATAGGATGGGTGGTAGGATAGAGCCTTGTGGTACTCCCTTAGAGATGGATAGGGGCTGTGTCATCAGATTTTCAGATTTTACACACTGGGTGCGCATAGACAGGTATTTTTCAAACCAGGCTATCGATTGGTTAGTGACACCAATGCATCTAAGCTTTCCCAGAAGCAGTTGGTGATCTATAGTGTCGAAGGCTTTGGCAAGATCGATGAAAATGGCAGCACAGTATTGTCTGGAGTCAAGGGCATTGATGATATCATTTAGGACTTTAAGAGTCGCCGTCTCACACCCATGACCTGCACGGAACCCAGACTGCATGTCAGATAGTATGTTGTAAGTCTTCAGAAACCATGTTAGCTGTTTGCAAACTAACTTTTCTAACACTTTCGCTATACAGGGTAGAATGGATATTGGATGATAGCAGTTGGGGTCAGCTTGGTTTCCCCCTTTAAACAAAGGTTGCACTGAGGCTGCCTTCCAGGCAGAAGGTAGCACTGCTGTCTGTATGGACAGATTACAAAGGTGGGAGATAGCTTCTGCAATAATTGGGGCTGCAACTTTAAAAAAGAAGGGGTCTAGCCCATCAAGACCTGCAGGTTTGTTGGGGTCAAGTTTACTAAGGACCTCCAGAACATCGTTCTCACTAACTTCCTGCAGGCAGAAGCTGTGACATGGGGCTGCGCTAGAGGGGCTGGGTGGCTAAACACATCTGTGTAAAAATTGTGTTGACCCATAATCACATTCAGCAGTTCTCAATCTCCTCTCTCTCCCTCTTGTTATTTTCAGTTGCCACCCTGAAGGACTGCGAGGCAGCTGGCAGCAAGTGCCATGCTGGGGCCGATTGTCTGCAGGTCAGAAACAACTTCACCTGTGAGTGCCGCATGGGCTACCAGGGCAATGGTCTGCTGTGCAACGACATTGATGAGTGCCTCAGCGGTTTGCATGGCTGTCACTCCAAGGCTCGCTGTAACAACAACCTTGGCAGCTACAGCTGTGTCTGTATAAATGGATATGTTGGAGATGGCACTAACTGCCAGGACATCAACGAGTGCCAGAAAGACAACGGGGGATGCCATGCCAGTGCCACCTGTAGTAATTTGGAGGGTGGGAGACAGTGCCGGTGTAAAAATGGCTTTAGGGGCGGCGGCTTTCAGTGTGAGGATATAAATGAATGCGCAAACTCACGGATCTGCCATTGGAACGCCTCATGCACTAACAACCCTGGTTCTTATGTTTGCACCTGTAATGCTGGATTTAAAGGAAATGGAAACTACCTGTGTCTTGACATAGATGAATGTTCAGAGACTCCTCGTGTGTGTTCTTCTTCACTTGGCTACAAAGGCTGTCAAAACCTGCTTGGCTCATACCGCTGTTCTTGCAAGAGTGGCTTCCAAAGCAATGGGAAGAGCTGTGTGGACATCGACGAATGCGCAAGCAACACCTGCAGTCTGTATGCAGACTGTGTTAACACACTGGGGTCATACCGCTGCACCTGCAATAGTGGTTTTGACGGAAACGGACTGACCTGTGTAGACCTCAATGAATGCAATGGAATCAATGAATGCGACCCAAGTGCAACTTGTATAAACAGGCTTGGGAGTTACGAGTGCTCCTGTTTGGGAGGTTTTTTAGGAGATGGTCGTCTGTGTGAAGACATTGATGAGTGCGCAACACCAAACATCTGCCCTTCTATCACTAACTGCGTCAACACTGGGGGGTCATATTACTGCAACTGTGGTAGAGGATATACCTTCAATAACTCCAAGTGCAATGACAAGGATGAGTGTTTGGAGGACCCCTGCAGCCCTTATGCAAACTGCACAAATTCACCTGGCTCTTACTCTTGTCAGTGTGCAGCAGGATACAGGGGGGATGGCTTCACTTGTGTGGATGTGGATGAGTGCTCACTGGCTAAGCAGTGCCACTCCAATGCCCTTTGCAGGAATGTCCCTGGCTCCTACAACTGCACCTGTCAGGTGGGTTATTCTGGAGAGGGGGTGATCCAGTGCATAGACGTAAACGAGTGTCTGCTGGACAATGGAGGTTGCCGGAACAAGGCTTCATGCGTCAACAACCAGGGTTCCTTTTATTGCCTGTGCCAACCAGGATACATCTTGGTCAACCGGACTCTTTGTCAGGATATAAATGAGTGTGAACCAAACAATCCATGTGGAGTGAATGAAAAGTGCAAGAACATTGATGGGTCATACAAGTGCCCTTGCCAGGTCGGATACTACCGCCCGGCCAGCAACATGGACTGCGTTGATATGGACGAGTGTAAAGATAACTCGTGCCATGTTAACGCAACCTGCCTCAACACCATTGGGTCCTTCACTTGCACCTGTAAGCGAGGTTTTGCAGGAAATGGCACCCAGTGTGAGGATATAAATGAGTGTTCTGTGGAAAGTACATGCCACACACGTGCAATATGCAACAATGTCATGGGGGACTTCTTTTGCTCCTGTCAGCTGGGTTTCAAAGGTGATGGCTTTTCATGTGAAGATGTGGACGAGTGCATCCTCTCTGATCCTCTTTGCCCAGATTTCTCAAAGTGTATAAACTCCCCTGGTGCTCATGTATGTTCATGTTTGAATGGAACATTGGCCTCCAATGGCACCTGCGTGATACCCAGTCCTTTGTGTGACCCTGTCTGCCACAGTCGTGGACTGTGCCACCAATCACCTTCTGGATACCAGTGTGTGTGTGACGTTGGTTACGTGGGCGACGGGCTGGCTTGCTCTGACATAGATGAGTGTGAGAGGGAAAACATTTGCCCTCAAGATGAAACGGAGTGTATGAATACCCCAGGATTGTATTCATGTGTCTGCAAAGAAGGCTACACTCTCAACGGAACACAGTGTGACGGTAAGGCAGTTATTCTATAGACTGTACAAAATAAAACCAATCCTTTCTCTAGAAACCATCCCCCTTTATTGTATTCTTGTTTCCAATGAATACCAATATCAAAGTAGAAGATAAAGATACTGAAAAGCAGTTTTAATTAGAATTTGTGGGACAAAAAAGATGTGGACTCTGCAATGAATGAATCTTGCATCTAGAGTATATATTCATGTAATATCAGAAAGCTATCGCCAAATTCCAACAGTACGAGTAAATACTCATTCTAGAATTGAAAACAAAGTAGGCTTATGTATATCACAGTGACTTAGCCTTAAAATGAATCTACTATGTCAAAACCTAATATTGTAAAAGCTGTTTTTTGTTTATTTTGGAATATAATAAAGGGATTCTGTTAAGCTTAATTATCTTCCTCCCTATTTGTCCATTCCTTTTCTAGATGTAAACGAGTGTGAGTCAGGACAGCAAGAGTGCAGTGAGTTTGCCCAGTGTGTCAACACAATTGGCAACTATTCCTGCTTCTGTCTCAGCGGTTTCTCGGGTGACGGGAAGAACTGCTCTGGTAAGTATCAATTCCTAATTTGTAAGCATCCATTATCCCCATAAGTAGACTCATCGTTAGCCCCATTTGGGACTGTTTCCCTGACACTGTCCCATTTTGGATGAATTATAGACATTGATGAGTGCCAAGTCCAAAACGGAAGATGCGATCCAGTTGCCAGCTGCACTAACACTCCTGGATCTTTCTACTGTGCCTGCCCACCTGGCACGATGGGCAATGGCTCCGACTGCCAGGATGTGGATGAATGTGAGCAGAACTCGACCCTGACACACAACTGCAGCTCCCATGCATTGTGCCAAAACACAAACGGGTCCTACACCTGCCAGTGCCAGGATGGATACCAGGGTGACGGCTTTGTTTGTGAGGATGTTGATGAATGTCAGTTGGCCACAACCTGTAGCAGCAACATGACATGCAGCAACACACCTGGTTCCTACACATGTTCATGTATCTTGGGCCTGGTGTATGATGATGGCACATGTGTGAGTGAAGACACCTGCCTGAATGCTAGTAGCGTCTGTCACCCACTTGCCAAGTGCTACCCACACAAGGGTTCCTTCTACTGCCATTGCGAAAATGGCTATGAGGGAAGTGGTATCGGATGCTATGATGTTGATGAATGCAACACATCGCAAGATCAAGTCTGCCCTGCCTTCTCCTACTGCTTTAACACAAATGGCTCCTACATATGTGACTGCTGGGAAGGGTTTCTGAACAATGGGACACATTGTCAGGACATGGATGAATGTTTGACCGGTAACTTCTCCTGCCCTGACAACAGCACCTGTACTAACATAGACGGGAGCTATGAATGTACCTGCGACCCTGGCTTCGTAGGCAACAGCTCCCTGTGTTTAGACGTAGATGAGTGTTCCATTGGCTTCATCCAGTGCCCTGAATTCTCAAACTGTCTAAACACAGTTGGATCTTTCGTCTGTGACTGCTGGGAAGGTTACAAAGGAAACAACACTGACTGCGAGGATATTGATGAATGCCAAGACAACTCTACCTGCCCTGAGCATAGCACATGCATTAATGTCAACGGAAGCCATCTGTGTAGTTGTGACTTTGGATTTTCCAGCGTGGATGATTTGTGTGTGGACATCGACGAATGCAGTGACATGGAGTTGGGTGAGCTTTGCACCAATGGCACGTGCAAGAATGCTATCGGTTCATTTTACTGTGAATGCTTCAAAGGATTTTTGAGTAATGGGACAGAGTGCATGGATGTAGATGAATGCTCAGATTTCCTCAACCCATCAGTGTGTCAGCATCATTCAACATGCATCAACATCCCTGGGTCTTACCGTTGCCCCTGTAATGAGGGGTTTATTCTGAATGGTACAGAGTGTGAGGATGTGGATGAGTGTAACGACCCAGATGGCACCCCTTGCCCTGAGTACGCAATATGCAACAACACAGCAGGGTCCTTCTTCTGCCTGTGTTCCCCTGGGTACAAACCCAGTAGCACAGGCTGTGAGGATATCGACGAGTGCATGGACAACACCACTTGCCGCTTCGACCAGGTGTGCGCCAACCTGCCTGGAGGGTACAACTGCTCATGTCCATTGGGGTACCATGAGGAGCAGCAGGCATGTGTCGACACCAATGAGTGTGAGGATTCACCGTGCCATTCCTCTGCGCGGTGCTGGAACACACTTGGTTCCTTTTCATGCCACTGTCCTTTAGGCTCCACTGGAAATGGCTCCTGGTGCAAAGACGTAGATGAGTGTGTCGCCCTGACTATACCGTGCCACTCTTCTGCAAGGTGTCACAACAGCCCAGGGTCCTTCGTATGTGTGTGTATGCCCGGCTTTGTGAGTATCGGACCACTGTGTGTAGACTTTGATGAGTGCCAACAGGCCAATGGGCAGTGTCACCCAGCTGCCACCTGCTCCAACTATGCAGGAGGCTTTAAGTGCTCTTGCAGTCAGGGCTGGAATGCTACCAAAGACAACGGTCATGGAAAAGGAGGATGTGTGGACTTTGATGAGTGTGTTTTACCCACGGCCTGTCCTGGGCAGACATCCTGCACCAACCTGCCAGGGTCTTTCAACTGTTCATGTCCCAAAAACAGCGCATTGTGCAGAATGATGACTCGGGAGGGTTGGTTTTGCCTTTGTTAATCATATGTTGATGTTCTTTTTTATTCATCAGCCTTTTTTTTTTACTTTTCTTTTAGTGGAAAATGTATTTCAGGCATTATTGAAATGTCACTCAGTAAATTACATCAAACTGTAGAAACAAGGTCTTCAAAATGCAACTTTAAGAAGTCAGAGTGAATTGGGGGAGCAACCAATATCATTTTAAATTTGAGGTTCTATTAATTCTCTCATCACACACATCACTCTGAGTGGCATTTTACAAAGTCTACAAGAACCTTGCCTCTTTTGATTATTTTTTCCATGTATGTTGTGAAAAGGAATCTAACTTCGATACAACCAATGTTAATATCTAGGCCGTCTTCAATACCGAACTCTGGTGCTGAATAGGCTCCGGTGAACGGCCGTCCAATCTTTTTAGGACTAAACCCCCCAGAATCTACACGCAAGATCAACGTAATATGCTTAGGGGGGCGCTTACAGCATGGCCTCTAACACCATGCTGCCCGTCGTATCACTTCAGGCACTAAAGCGTCGGTCTGCGGCCGCCAGGATAGCAAAACGGAGTGTATAGTGTAGTAGGTGTTGGTGGGATGGTAGAACCCCAGAGCAGTATCTAAACTGCCCATGGAGGAGAAACCCTGTGTCGTTGGGAGACCCCTTGGTAATTAGGGCAGCTTCAGGACCCACAATCCCTAACCCCTAATTTTGATCCCCAGTTATACCAATCAAAACAATGCAAATGTAATATCAAACACAGCCAGACTCAAACATTAATATCACAGCAGTTACATTACCAGCCAGAGTAAAATATTGATATCACAGCAGTAATATTATACTACATCAGCAGAGCATATGTCATATTTCAACATTCATCAAAACCACATCAACCACAGTAACCAATGTGAAACTATAGTTTAACCTTAGCAGGGTTTCTATTCCCCTTAAACAATTTCAAATCCGAATGATCAACTACTGTCAGCCTTGTCCAAGGAAGGGTGTTCTTACCTCACTCTAAGACCAAGCAGATGCCTTCAGAGACCACGAGAGAGACCAGGAATTGGATCGAAATGTACAAAGTACAAACCGGTTTTATTAAGGTTTTAACAAAAATATAGGATTTACAAGAATCCAAAAAATAACAAAGACACAAAGTCAAAATACAAAAGCAACAGGTTCACAAGTCAAATAGAGTGGCGAAGTCCCTCCCCTTCCGGTGGACCTCCATGGGACCTTATTTCGGAAAAATTATGTCTTGAAGTCAATGGAGAGAGAAAGATTATCTTTCGATCCCGTTTGAATTGTGCCACGAATTACACATATGATGTTTGTCAATTTAAAAGATAATTTTGCAAGTCAAAAAAATATATATATGTCGTAAAACTGTGAAGTAACACATTTGTTTGTGTGAAACGCTCAATGAACTACATCTCCGGTCTCGCACAATAACACACGTCACCAAGATGGCCGTCACTGCTGTCTTGTCAAAAAAAGGATTGACTACCCTCACTATGAATGTCATGCAAAGCTGCCTGCCTGCCTTCCTTTGATTCTCTTTGAACTGCCTGGTCTTTTTAATGTTTAATGTCAACCATTTGTGCAGATAGCATGAAGTGCAAAAGATCGCCGATGCTAATGTAGCGTTAGCGTTAGCCTTTCTCCCCTGGGCTTAAATTGTGTATTATAGAATGATCACACCGGTGTGACAGTACTCTTCAAAGGGTTCACGAAATATGACTACTACTCTTACTGTTTAACATTTTGGGTTACTTAATGTTACTTCATGTTAAGGCTAATACAAATGACAAGGCTGTAATGCTAACTAACGTGCTAGCTACTAGCTATGTAGCTAACTTGATCAAGCCACTCCTGGTCCTTTCATCAGACGGGAAGCGAAAGAACGAGCAAGACCCATTGCTGGTATGATAACAACCTGGTACTAAGCACACAGGCATCTTGTTAAAGTTATCTTATCTTAGCCAGCGCCATATAGATAGATTCTATCTATATGGCGCTGATCTTAGCTATCTCTTAGTGGAGGAAAACAATTGTGACATCACTTACGCGACTCTGGGATTTGTAGTCTTTCTAGTTGCGTATTTTTCATAGTCTTATATTTCAACAGTTTTACGACAAACTGTGACTTTTTTGACATGGAAATGATTTTTTAAGATTGACAAACATCATATGTGTAATTCATGGCACAATTCAAACGGGATCGAAAGATACGTTTTCTCTCCCCATTGACTTCAATGCATAATTTTTCCGAAATAAGGTCCCATGGACCGGAAGTAGATGGGCGTGACTTCGCCACTCTATGTCCTAAAGCCGTCTAAAAGAGCCCAAGCCCAGGCCCAGGGCCCAAGGCCCAAGGCCCAAGGCCCAAGGCCCAAGAGCCAAGACCCAGAATGAAGCCTCAGAAAAGTCCCCCCAAGCTCTCAAGCCTAAAAAGCCCCAGCCTCTCTTTACACATCATCTTTTATAGTCTCTTGCCTCCTCCCTCTCTGCATCAGGTGGTTTCCCCTTTTCTATCTTTGAGGGAGAAGGAGGTCACATATGTTCAACTTTTACTTAATGAACAATTAAAAATGTAAAGTTAAAATTAAAGTGGACCTATCATGCTATATTTGAATAATATAGGGTAGGACCATACCTATATAAGGCATATTTATACTTTTTTTTTTTTCAAAATACCAAACAGATCATGCATTTTAGCCATGCCTCATTTTGCTCAATTTGACATTTTTTAGATCTGTTTTAGCAAGGGTTGATTATGTGAGCAACAGCACCATCTAGAGGCCTGGCATATGTACTACAACGTCTCCAGCGCTTTCGAACGGCAATGCCGTGGTTGTCTCCTCCTGATTGGTGGAGTTGGCCCAATAGCCGTAGCGCCACTGTCCTGACGTCAGGAAAGTGTTCAAATCTGGATCAGTTTTTATCAGATCCGTTGCAGCCCCTTTTTTTAGAGATTTGGGTATGGAGGAAAATAGAGAGGGTTGTGTTTTCTGACACTTGGTGAGTTCCCTGGAACACCGGGGACACATATTCATGTATAAAAGACGTACAAAAGTGCATTTTGCATGATAGGTCCGCTTTAAAACAAATAAAGACTTATAGTAATAATATGCAATTTTAACAAGAGGGAATATGAAAATTTTTCATGAAAGCAGAACACATTGTCAATGTCATGTTTAGAATCAAGTTTTTTCTTTAAACATTTAATTTCAAATATGCAAACTTTATACTTTAATTTATTAACAGAGACAGCTTGTCTCTAAGATTCGCTGGCCCAGGAAGTTGGTTCAAATCTTTTACGTAGTCCGTCTGCATCCTGACTCATGTTCTTCGTAACCGTTGTAACCGCTGTCAAGGTGTCAAAAACCACAACGCCTACTCAGAATTGTGGTTGGAACTTTTGCGCTTTTATTGCACCTTCTAGAATGCATAGTGTGCATAGGTCAAAAGTTCAGGATGTTCTATCTAGTTTCACATGTCTGGTTTCATATGTCTGAAAAGACATTATGGAAACATACATCCTTTCCATTTACAGCCAATTTAGCATTTTTTATCAATGGTAAGCTTAATATAGGTAGGTGAGGTAAAGGTCAGGGGCCTCATTTATAAAGGGATATACGCTCAAAAAATGGCGTACGCCAGTTTCTACGCAATGTTTGCGATTTATAAAATACTAACTTGACGGGAAAATGTGCGGTCCTCCACGCAAACTCTAACCCATGCGTACGCACTAAGCACAACAACGGAAGAGACGAGAAACTGCGACACCGTTGGCAGAAGGAAGAATGGAGAGAAATATGTGGAAATAATACCATAAATAAAATGTTACCTCTCATCTATCAAATATGAAGAATTCATTTTCAAACATTGATTAAAGCCAATCTTAAAATGATTAAACAAACGCCTGTTTGCGACTCCTCAGTGCACACAAAAACATAACTTGGAGAAATAAATAAATACGGATATGTTATTTAAAACCACCTCGAATATGTTGTGTTAATGTTATGAAATGTTTTCTCATAAATGATGCGGTAAGCAGGAGGACAGAATTATGTCTAAACTGACGCCGTTTTGCATTTCTATAGGTTGTAGATACGAGCATGGTTTTATATTTTCACGTTTAATCGTGTTTTATGCCTTTTGCCAAGACTTGATAAGTCGCTCGTAAAACACAGGAGGTATGGAAACTAAGAACACCATATGTGGTCAATTGTACAGCTAATATAACACAACCCATTAGTTGTATTTCCTTTAACTGGTGGATTATGGATATACAGTTGCTGATCGAAAACTGGAACACAAACCACCAAATACAAAAAAATAATTCAGATCCAGTCGTCATGACTCCACTCCGGAGGGATTCCCCGATCATTTGAGTTTCTCATCAAGGGGGTGTCTCCTGTCCCCGGTACAAACACACTGCCTGAGGAAGGTTATGTGTATTTTTTTTGTCATTAATCTTTTTCGGACCACTTATTTATTTATTTTGGTGACGATCCGACCTCCATGCTGCTACTCTGGTTCAAACTGCATCCACCAAACAATATGATTTATCTCGACCTCCCCAAAATAACCTAAATCTGACACGGTGTGAGATGTCTTTTTTAGCTGTTCTGTCCTCATTTCCTGCGATCTTCTTCATGCAGTCAGTCAAAATGAATGAATGAATGGGCGTTTCTTTGACTATTTATAGGCAAATATGGGCGTTACGTGAAGCCCGCAAAAGCTGCGCCGCATTTCGAGTCGATTGTGATTTATAAAGGGAAACAGGCGTAGGAAGTGCCGTACGCACTTCCCTCGCCGGTACGCAATATTTTGTGAATCGGAAAATGTCGAAAAATGTCTGTACCTATTTTTTTGCTTTGTACTACGTAAGACTCATTACAACATTTTTTATAATTTTTTTTCCAAAGTTCGAATGCAAACTGTTTTGTTTGATTAATGGAAGTATAATGTATTTGTGTTGAGTTTTGCCACTGATTAAATGTCTTCTTTTAACAAATAGAGAGCAGCCTGTACCCCTTTGGAGATGAGGTTGGTGATAAAGGCGTACATATGGACTCAGCAGATGGAAATTCACCATACATCACCCCACCTATTGGTTTCCCCTTCATGGGGAAATTGTACAACAGGGTTTATGTGAGTTTCAAGCATTTATATACAACCAGTGATGGCTCTAGTCTAGAGCATTTAATGGCTGGGAATGGGAGTATTGAGAAGCCTGGGTCTTGTTAGGCTTTAAGGTACAATATTTATTTAGCAAAACTGCTACTTACCACCACCCCCATAAGGTTGGTTCTTGGAAAAACTAACAATACTAACTTTTTCTTCATCACTTCCTGTGAATAATCACAATTTCCCCTTTGGACAGAGAACTGTATACTAATATTATTCCCCAGAGTAAGGGGGATCCACAGAGGTTTTGAGTTTTGTGGGGGCATTGGCCATTATTGCACCTAATTAGAACTGCCATTGTCCACAACACTCTGCAAAAGTTGTAATCTTCTAAAACTGATTTTTTTATTATGGAAATATTTAGAAATGTTTGCATCTTAATCCAGGTCATGTCTCATATTATTCATACATTCCTGTATCCACACCAACAAAGGATTCTCTCCTTAACAGCAAATGTAATTAAATCTTACCAGCACATTTAATTAGCAAGCTAAATATTAAAGCAAAGCCTCATCGCAGAGATAACAGTAATTCTCATTAGAATATAAATACGTTTCATTAGTGTGATATGTGATAGCAATACACATACATTAATCATGACTTACTACAATCTACAATGTGTAAATGGCAGCATAAATTACATAATATGTATGGGGTTAACATGTTTTGCTCAAGGTTTTACTGTGAAATTAAATTAAAAATGGAGTTACATGTTGCAATTACTACTTAAATATTAGCAATACTGTTAGGATTTTATTTTAAACTCAGTCTGATATGATATCTGTATCTCTCCTTCCTTTCTCAGTTTTCAGACAATGGCCTTGTCCAGTTTCAATCTGTCACTGAGAACGAGCAGTACCTGCTCCCGGCTCCATTGGCCTATGGTTTCCCCGACAACATGACAGTGGGCCTGCTGGCGGCATTTTGGGATGATGCTGACCTCACCCATGGGGACGGAAGGCTGCTCTATCAGGTTAGAAGTGTTAATGTGATTGTTTTCTATTACTTTTTTTTCTATTACTTTAGGTTTTCTTTTTCCAGTTATTTGACATTTTTGTTGTCTGTCTTTTTATCATGTAAAGGACTTTTTCTCACATTTTAAATTATTATTATTATTTTTGTATTCATTATTTTGTTTGTTATTGTTGTTATTATTATCGTTATTTTTGTATTATTTATTTTTTCTTATCATATTGGTTAGGGTCTGGCATTTTTTGTAACTTGTGCATTATATATCTCCTTATTTTCTTTTTCTAATCTTTCAGGAATACCATGGCCTGGATATGTCAGATGTCTACTCCCAGATAGTGTTTAACCGTACGGCAGATGATGTGACGAAATTCGAGCAGCGGAGGAACAAACCTGCCTTCACCCCTGCATGGATCCTCAAGATCACCTGGGACCATGTGATGCCCGTCGCCTATCAGAAAATCAACTTCTCAGAGGTAAAGAGATTTAAAACTAAACAGATTTATTTTCTTTCGTTCTTCCTTTCTTTTATCTCTGAACATCAGTTGGTATTTAAGTGTGGTTGTATGTAACTAAGTACAAGTGTTAAACTGAAGTACTATTTTGGCATACTTGTACTTTAATTTTCTATTACTATATATTGAGCTTTTAACATTATCGTACAAATGTAACATTAATAGTTTCAAGCTACCTTTTTCAAATAAGACTGATTATATGCTTGTATGATATGCAGCAGAACTGTATTTTCTTATATGTTATTTCTTTAAGTATTTATAATTGCCTCAACATGACGAACTTCAAGATAAAAATGCCCTTAAATGCAATTGTTAGTGATAAAAACTAAATAATTCTGTTCTATAATAACATTCTATTGAAATAATATTTGGCAGGGAGTGCTTGTCCTACTTTATTTGCTATTGTTTTGTGCAATATGAAACCTTTAACCATCTCCTCAATGAAAGCTCATAACACTTGGGCTGTTTTGTTTAACTTTGGTGCCACCTTGGGGCTGTTTCAGCTACAGGGCGTAAAAGCAGAGCTGCCACCTGTCTATGTTATTACTTCTTACAATGGCATTTTGGCATAGTAAGTGCATTCTTGCTGCTCTTTTATGATGGGAATGTATTACAATTTAGAGTAGTGTAGTGACACACGGATGTTTTACAATCAGGGATACATTATGACAATCAATTTGGGATTACAGTAATGGTTTTTTTTCAGGCTGCATAAAAAAATATATATTTTTAATATTTCTATAGCTTAACACACTATGTAGTGTTGTTATTTGCTAAATGTATCAAACTATACCATGCAAGGTAGACTGCAACATTGGCTGAAGAATATTTTTAAATGTATACCTCTATATCTATAATATTACAATGGGCAATCCCCACAGGAGCAATTTGGGGTGAAGTGTCTTGCCCAGGGACACAACTGTGGGGGAAACTTCTGAAGCAATTGGAAACAGGACTCAGAGAGGCACGAGGAGAGCTGGAGCTTTGATGGCAAACACTGACGGTTTATTTGGAGTTACGGCGGGAGAATTGACAAAACAGGTGGTGTGTCACCAGTTGACACAGCGGTTGCCAAACCAATTCTGAAGAACTCTTCTGCAGCTCGTTGTTTTAACTAGTTCGGAGTGTCAACATTCTTTATCAGTGAGACTAAAGCAATATGGACCCTGAATCTAACTAGTGCTCTCGTCCATAGAAAAGAATGTGCGCCAGGGAACCTACGTCCCTGAACAGTAAACTACCTCATGGCGGCTTGTGCTCTGTCATAGACTGGCAACAACAATGCGCCCACGCTGCCCCTCCTTAAGAGAGATAGCAGCAATACCCAAGGCTGTATACATATGCCATGGGAAAGGAGACAGTGAGAGGAGAAAACGATGAACTGGGTCGAAGGTTGAATACCTAAGCAAATGATTCCCTAACAACAACGACATGCTGACTGCAGTGGGACTCAAACTTGCTATCCTCTGATTCGAAGATCAGCGCACTAAACCACTGAGCCAAAGCCTCCCACCGACCCCCTTGTTAAAAGACCCCATCTTCTTATTTTAGGATCAATGCAATTTCTTTAGTAATCAGCTTGTTTTCTTGTTGAATGTATTATTATTATCTTTATTATATATATATTTTGTATGTATTCTTATTATTAATTACATTAAAAAGATGTAAAGGACCATGCTTTAAAAAAGAATTCATTTCAAAAAGAGAAGAACATTTTTTATTTAGCTATTTAATTTTCATCCATGGGCAGATTAAACACAGAAACATATCTCAAGGGAATGACACTTAAAATACCTTTTTTAATATTTTGTTGTAATTCATGAAAACGGGCAAAAAAAACGAAGTAAGTAATAAGTGTTTATGTAAAAACATCTACAACAGAACTTACTTTTCATTTTCAGACTAACACTTTCCAGTGTATCCTGACCACTGATGGAGTGCGCTCCTTCGCCCTCCTGCGGTACGGGGACATGCTCTGGGGTCCCGGCCAGAGGCAATACCATGACGCTATCATCGGCTACACGGATGGAAAATCCTCCTACAGGGAGCCCACTGTACCCCCAGACAACCTTTTCGGGCCTGGGGGCAGATACAGGCCCCAGCAGGTGAAGGGGGTCATGGGGAAGCTGGGTCAGCTGGTGTATGATTTTACAGCACCAAGGGGCTCAGACCTAGATTCCCGGCTCAGGTGCCAGGCGTGGGCGATGGAGCAGCCGGAACCCGCTCAGTGGACAACAGGGCTGCCTCCATGTCCCTGCACACGCATCCAGGCTCGGGAGGACTTGTCCTTCATGCAGGACACCACTGATCCGGGTTCCATGGTGAAGACGCTGAGGGGTCTGCGGTGGGGGGGCGCAGGGGGGCACGTCTTCCAGTCGGTCTTGTCCAACAGGCACGGTTCAGGGAAGAGGTGTGTGTATGACCCTGATGGCCCGCTGCTGACTGGGTACAACGAACGATACTTCTATGGAAACAGCGTGCAAAAACATATTGGTATTATGATTTAAATAATTTTCCAACATTAAATAAGGAGTTCAAGTCTCAATCGTCATCAGTGAATGTTTTTAATCCAGTTTTTCAATACAATAATAATGATGTCAAAGTCAAAAACTGCTTGAGACAGTGCAAATGAAGCTGTATTCAAGTCAATTATATGCATTTGGATTGAAAAGGAGAAAACATGGACTTTAAAAGTATATACAGACATGTATATGTATCTAAAGGAGCTTTGTACTGTACCCTTCAGGATACCAGCATTTATTTACACATAAAGTTCCTATTTATCACTTTGTTTCAATTGATTTGAATGCCAAGCTCAAGGAGAAAGTAAGACACCTGTCCTTGGCAGTGTATTTAATATTTAATCAACTTTCTCTCTCCAGACGAGGATCTCCTGCCGTTCCAGTGGTGTTGTATCGAGTCTCCTCTGTGCCACCTTTACCTCAACAAGAGACCGCTGGACCGCTGCCAAGGTTACAGCTGGGCAAGCCTTCACCGGTTCAGTCTAACCAAGAAGGCGACACCGGGTGTAGGTGAGGGATCACAGACTGTACAGTGATTCATCAAATGTTATTTTGATGTATGCAACTAGTCCTTATGGTCAGCAATAGGCAGCAGAGAAGATGCTGTACCATCAATTAAAAAAGACTATGTTGTAAGAAGAAAGCAAATATGATACCAGGGGAGGAGCTAATATCAAGTTTCAAAGCTTAAAATGAATACATTAAAATCACAAATTCACAAGAAAAAAATAACTTTTTAGTATAGAAATAGAGAATAATTCACTTTTTTCTCTCAATATGTGAGTTTTCTTTTTTGTAAATGTACCACTGAAATGTAAAACTATAAGGTTTTGTTCTGAAAAAAGCCCACACCTTAGTCTTTTTTTAATTTGTATATTGTTTCTAATACACCCCCCTCTTAAGTATGATGAATGTCAATAATATGCCAGAAAACCCCCCTTGTCGATGTTCCCTTGCAGCGATGGTGTACGGCAGCCTCCATTTCATCACCTTCGATGGGACGGAGTTCTCCTTCAAGGCCCTCGGAGAGTTTGTGATATTACGTCTCTCCTCCTCCAGCGGCTCTAATATCTTCACCCTGCAAGGACAGACTGACAAGCTACACACAGACGCAAAGGGGATCATTGAGGTCCCAGTGGTGGTGCGCATGGCTGCCTTCCACCAGGGCATTGGCAAGGTCAGGGTGTGTGTGTGTGTGTGTGTGTGTAGAGAGAAGACAAAGTTACGGTGTCTATTCCACAGAGGGATAGTTTGTGCCTCTTGAATAAATGGTTACATTTTGGAAAATTAAGTCTAATAATGTTCTTTCTGAGAGGAAGGTAATGAGACAGATGGTGATGGCATTCCCATTTTTGTGCATCAAGTATAGTTGGCTGGGAGATGATTAGCCTAGCTTAGCATAACGACGCAGGAGGGGAGCAGCTAGCCTACTTTTGTCCAACGTTTAAATAAAGACCCACCAACAATCAACAATTGTTGGATTAATCCTTACACAAACAGATATCCAAAAGTAAATACAGTACTCAAAATTGTAGGGAGAAATTATGCTAACCTCTTAAGCCCTGAGCCTGTTTTTCAGGTCTCAGGCTCGAAAATGACATTCCCAGAACAAATGACCATATCTTCCCTTCTAAAAGGATTAAATTAATAATCTTTATTCTCAAAGTAATGTTAAACCTGTGAGTTGGATGTAGAAAAGTCAGAATCAATATAGATGTTTTTTATTTGAAAGAAAATTCAGATTTTACATAGTAAAAAACTGTAAATTATAGTGTCCGTCCAAAAATTATTTTTTACTTATAGTGAAAACTACCCTTGGATGATGGGTTAGTAGACTAAAAGCTGTAGGAATCCAAAGTACAACATATAATAAGTACCCTGTATCAAGATTGATGCAAAACAAGTGAAATTTGACCTTTTTAGAGAGATTTAGCCAAAAACCCCCACTTCTGGAGTCATTTGGGTGGATTTGACCTATCTCTGGCCCCCCTTGGTCGATTTTGATGAATGAAATCTCTTTATAACCGCTAGAGCCAAAACGTTAACAAATAAGGAGTGAGAGTGACGCGTTACCAAAACCGGAAGCTGCATACACTCTGGTGGCTACCATTAGCAGCTAACTTTTCCGCTCCGATTTTTACATAAAAAATGGAATTATGGATTATAAATAATTTTTTAAAAGGCACAGGTACATTATCAACCTATGGATCAACAGTTGTAGACATTTTATTTTTCGTTTTAATGCCATTGAACACGTCTTTTGACCTAATTGACAGCTACGGTGAGACGATCTGCCGTAAAAGCTCCGTAAAGGTACGTGTTGTGATGTCTGTGTTTGCTTCCCCTGTCGCAAGTTCGGATCGCTCAGTGATGATACTATACCTAAATAATCAGTGGAGTCTCAGCTTTAATAGGCTATATTATATGTGCAGCTACGATAAGTAATAAGGGTATCTTTATCTTGAATTGTGTGCCGCAGTGCGTTCGAATTTTTTCGCTCAAGGGGTCATTTAGACGCTTCTTATGAGACTTGTGTTTTGTTTTGGTAAAAATGGTTCATATCTTCAGTTAGCTGAGATTCTTCCCGTTAATCTGGTGCTACACATTAATAGTTTCACAAATGTTAAGAAGCCCTGAGACATTATCTCGAAAACAAAAAGGTGGGAGGGGTCCAATGGGGGGATCGCCGTGCTTAAGAGGCTAAACTAATTGGCTCAAGCTTCGCTCAAAGTGAGCAAATGGGTACCGGTAGGCCTACATATATTATAACAGTCACACAATCATTTTTCGATAATAGGTAAAGTACCAAAGTATTCCCTCCGCAAAATCCACTCATCCAATTGTAAAAGCAGACTGGAATGAATATTTAAAAAATAATGGTAAGTCCTACTTTGACCTCTAATATTCACATAATTATTTTCAGATTGAATGGAGATGTGCAGAGAAAGGAGATGGACTGCAGCTTTTTGTAGATGATGCCAAGGTCCCAGTCACAGTTGGTAATGGTCCCCACACACATTACATTAAACAATACGGTTTTACAGTTAACATCAAGACTAATATTATACCCAACCTGCCTTGTATCCAATGTTTTCAATGTCAAATCACCACTGTCCTTTCAGGTGTAGTGCACATGGGTGAGAGGGACTTTGCTGTGCGCTGTGTGTCAGTGAGTCGTTGTGCGGCGGTGTACGCCGGTGGTCTCCATGTGGTGGTGTGGAGGGAAGCCCACAATCAGCTGGCGGCCATGGTGGAGGTTCCTCAGACTTTCTACAACCGCACTGTGGGCCTCATGGGTCAGTGGAGCTCCAACCGCTCCGACGATTTCCTCATGTCCGACGGCAGGCTTGTCCCCTCACTGGACCTCAACCCCCCTTCAGAGGCCAAGCTGCATGACTTTGGCTTGTCCTGTAAGTGGACCATAGATTCATAATGTTATTGTAAGTGAATAGTAAGCAAGGCTAAGAAGGGGACTACAGGTGGTCCTCTACCCCACTTAGGTGCTCTGTTGCATCAAATCTTAAAAATAGAGTATTCCCTCCATGTTGTGGTGAGCTTTTGAAGACGCTATAATCAATATTTATGTCTTAACATTGGGTCAAAAGAATATGTGTAAAGAGAAGGGGACTATTTGTAGTGATTAAGAGAATTTACAGAAAGCTAAGTCTTTTAGAATCTTTCACCTAATTGTCTTGGTTTAATATCCCTCAACTTCAATACATTCAAAGTGATATTGTAAACATGAACAACATGTTCTGGTTTTGGCTCTTTAAACATTTAAAAGCTATGTGCATAGTTATTTTACGTAAAGCCTACTGCTACGCTTTTTAAAGAACGTTTGAAAAACCTTTCGATATCTTAGTCTTTTATTAGGTTTAATGCTACTTTTTTTTCTCCTTATGAACACAAATGTGGGCTTTTCATTAACAACTCACAGCCTCTTGCCACTTTGGTACATCTTTGTTAGTTGTCAAAGAAAGCCCACATGCAATTTGCTGTAAGAAAACAAAAAAACTCAATTGTGACGCTTATTCCAAATGCACTTACATCATAAGAAAGCTCTTAAAACCAGAATAATGTTTGAATGTCTGACTTTTTTTTAATCAGAAAAACCCAAATTGAATATGATGAATTTGTTTCTAGTAAAAAAAATTGCAATAATGTCACATTTGAAGCAAAAGTGGAATATAAGTGTGCATGTAAACATGAATAGTGGGCCCTCCATACATGACATTTAACAATATTGGGACACCCTGCACTAACCTTGTATTTTGTCAAGGAAATAATGGGTGAGTCATGCTTCTCCGAGATTATAACTCCCCAAGTTTGGTTTCCAGTTCTCTGGGGTGTTGTGCTCAGCTCCAACTGTCTGCCTGTGTGTTTCCAGGGGCAGTTCCCGTCCCAGAGAGCCTGCTGTTCTCTCCACCTCCACTTGCTCCACTGCAGCCTGCCTCCTCTCAGCAGCTCCTGGAGAGCCTCAGTCCTGCGGAAGTGGAGGAGCTGAGGAGAACCTGTAAAGGCAGCATGCAGTGCGTCCACGACACCATAGCAACCGGCAGCTCTGACCTGGGTCAGCGCACTCTGGCTGCCAAGAACCAATATCAAAATCTGGCTCTCGTATACGGTAAGGACTTTTAATTTGAAATGTTTTGTGTTTCCCCCATTGACCTGTTCTAATTTAATGTGGTCTGCTAGGTAACATGCCCCCCATAGTGACGGAGCCCACAGTGATTGGCTGTAAGGTCAACTCCACTGTCAACGTTCAGTTTGTTGCTCAGGACCCGAATGGAGACCCCATCACCTACTCACTGCTCCACCCCAGGCCTCCCCGGACCTCCATTGGCAGCAGTAAGACACATACACACAACACACACACACACACACACACACACACACACACACACACACACACACACACACACACACACACACACACACACACACACACACACACACACACACACACACACACACACACACACACACACACCTTTCCCCTTAAAATGTTTTTCCAAAAACAGCCCCCCCGCCCCCTCCTCCATCAGGGTTACACATGACGTTCCTCTTGAGATTTGTCATTGGGTTTGTGAGCCTTATTTTTGCCAGATGGGACATTTCAGAGCTGAGTCAGTGGATGGGTCACACTGACAGACACGCACAGGGAAACAGAAGGCTCAAAAAGTAACAGTCATGTTTGAAATTGTGTTTTTTTTATTACAAATCTATGATTATTTTTACAAAAAAGTGGATACGTACAGCAGAATTGTGCACCTGTTATAAAGTGTCAATTATTTTTAAATGTAATTTAACATACCTTACTGCTTTCTGTCCTATTGACTGCTCCTTCTGGGAAGATTAATTCCAATATTTTAACAATTGCTCATAACAATTTACAAAAATAACAAATGATTCTTCCAGACCTTTTTTTGAGGATTACCAAGAACATTAATGCAACTAAAAAAAAATATTTCCATGTCTAATATTAAACACTCAGCATAGGCTCTAAAATAAAAATGTTTTATCAGTTTTTCTACTGTCAATATGTTAATATGTTAAAATGTTTGTATTTTAAGTTCAGGGGAAAACTAATCTGAATCTAACTTTCCCCCAAAAAAATACATTGCAATCCAATTGTTGGAAAATATAATTGCAAAAAAACCTTTTCAAAATAGCACCAACTCAACAGGATTGATCTTGCTCTAGTGAAGCAAGATATTTGACTTTTATTTTCATTTTATTTGGTATGTTGTAATATTTATTTTCTTTTTGTTATGTTTTTGTGTTGATTTTTTTATTATTATGAGGTTATATTTTTGTCATCATATTCGCGTTTGTGTAATTTTTGCCTGTATAAAATAAAATACAATAATAACAAAAAGTAATGTTGTAAGTGTAAATAGTTTTTTTTTTTTTAATTGTCTAAAGTTTTTCAACATTGTTTCCCTGCCATTATTATGCAAATGACCATTCATATACATACTGTATATAGGTTTCTGTTATGAAGGCTTTCCCCTATGCTATACCTTTGTGCTTGTTGCTCCAGGGGACGGCTTCCTGACCTGGATGCCCCTCACCACACAGCCAGTCCAGCTGACCATCAGAGTCAGTGACGGGCTCTCCAGCTCCCTGTTCACCCCCATCCTGCACGTTTGCAACTGCCTCAACGGAGGGACCTGCCAGTATGAGAGTGTCACTGAAAACCTCCAGCAGGGGACTTTTCAGGTACATCTTTGATATGCAACAGTTTTTCTCATGACATGTTAAGGTTGATTTCCCTCAACAGAAGGTTCTCTGATTAAAGAGGACAAATTATTCTCATTTTTATGTTCATATTAGTATTTAGTGCCTCTACTGTGACATGTCTCCATGCTTTAATGTTCAAAAAGCACCTCTTTTCACCTTCTGTCTAAAACCAGAGCCCAGTCTGCTCTGATTGGTTAGCTGGCTCTGTTGTGATTGGTCAACCGCTTAGAGAAGTCCCTCCCCTAAGCCTATCCCTTTCAATGTGTTGGAGTGCTATTCAATGGAAATGCATTGGTTACACAGTGATGTCACTATGTTTCTGAGGTAAACAAAAGAGTCAAAACGAGGCTTTACAAGTGGGGGGGGGGGGGGGGGGGGGGGAGAAACCACCTCTGCAGGGATCTTTGGGAATTTAGGCTTTGCAGAACATTTACAAGTAAACAAAAAACTATAAAACACACTACAGGAAAGGGAAAACCCAAAGAGCATAATAGGGCCTCTTTAAGTGACCATATCTATCTACCCCAATTATTCAAGTGGCTAGCATTATAATAACTCATTGAACCCTTTCAATTCTAACAAAAAAAAGCTTTCCTTTTTAGAAATGCATGAGCATATTGCCGTCCCACAACTCCTTGCTCCACCAATGGACAATTCACATTTCACATCATTTAATTTGACCCATATACCCAGTGAATTTAATCCCAAATTTAGCAATCCCCAGTGCCAGGGGTCTGATCCCTGGGGTGCTGCCCCAACTCCCCGCCAGATCTGCAAACTTTCTGTTGCTTCCGGTACCCAGGTTTGACCCAGCTCATGCTGCTGGCCTAATTGGAGTTATATGAAAAAGTGTGGGACAAGTATTATTTTCTATTTATGCAATATGTTATTTTGTCTATCCCTCTTCCTTTCTGTTCATATCTCTTTCCTCCCAGGTGGTGGGGTGCCTGTGCCCAAAGGGGTTCAGTGGAAAGTTCTGTGAGAAAACTGCAGACGTATGTAAAGGCAAACCCTGTTTCCGAGGCGTTCAGTGTCAGTCAGAGACAGAGCCCGGACAGTTTACCTGTGGAGAGTGTCCCAAAGATGCTGTCTCTGGAGCAAAACAGGGATACAAGTGCTTTGAGCATGGTCTGTAGTGCTTTGTGCAGTCATATTATCAGATGTGTCCCATCCCGTATATTAATATTGATCTCACTCTTGCTTCTCTGTATTCCTTTCAGACATGTGCAGCCCTCCTTTCCCCTTCCCCTGCCACAAAGATGCCGACTGCCTCAGCACCCAACAAAACTTCACCTGCACATGTAAGCCTGGCTTTACGGGAGACGGACGCAACTGCACAGGTACTGCACAGCAAAGGCTATGTCATGCTATGAAAGAGCATTGTCTTGACTTGGGACTTGACTTGGGACTTGACTTGGGACTTGTCGGTCTTGATTTGGAAATGTATTTGGGACTTGTTTGTCTTGAGTTATGACTTGACTCGGGACTTGTCAGTGTTGATTTGGGACTGGTAAATCTTGGTTTGGGACTTTACTTGGGATGTGTCAGTTTTGACTTTGTTGTTTATTGAGACAAGTTGTTTTTAATTTGGGATTTAATTTGGGAGATGTTAGTCTTAACTTGGGATTTGACTTGACTTGTAAATCTTGACCTCTGACTTGTCAGTTTTGATTTGGGAATCGACTTATGACTTGTTTGTCTTGACTTACACCAGTCTTCACTTGGGACTTGGGAGTGGTTACTCTTGACTTGGGATTTGACTTGGGACTTGTAAATCTTGACTTGAGGCTTGTCAGTTTTGATTTGGGAATTGACTTTAGACTTGTTTGTCTTGGCTAACAACTTGACTCAGGACTTATCAGTCTTGACTTGGGACTTGGAAGTGGTTAGTCTTGACTTTGGGTTTGACTTGGGACTTCTACATTTTGACTTAGAACTAGACTGGGGACTTGTCGGTGTTGAAGTTGGATTTAACTTGGCACTTGTTAGTCTTGATTTGGGATTTAACGTGAGACTCATACATTTTGACTTTAGCATTGAATCAGGATTTGTCAATGTTGACTTTGGAATTGAACTCAGGAATTGTTAGTATCAAGTTGGGATTTGACTTGGGACTTATCGGTATTGACTTGGGACTTGTACGTTTTGACTTGGACTTGACTAGTGTATGGAGTACAAAGATTGAGTTGTGATTTGAAATCAATGACTTGTAGCCACCCCTGCTATTCAGCCAACATTTGAGTATGAATACCAGCACATGTATTTTACATGTTTGACCTGTCTCTGTCTGTGTCCTAGATGTAGATGAGTGTGCAGAGCTGGCCACCTGCCCCAATGCTAAGTTTGAGTGTAAGAACACGCCGGGCTCTGTCGAGTGCTTCTGTCGATACAAGAAGACCAGGGACACTGATGGATGTGGTATGTGCATGTTTGCCTTTCTGTGTTTAAGTGTATTACCAGCAACACACACAAGTAAAATATAATGTATTCACTGAGAGAACACCTTAATTACTGCATCATATTTTAGGAATCATGTCTTAACCCTCCTGTTATCCTCAGATTTACTTTACACCCGTTATCCTCTGGGGTCAATTTGACCCCAGTAGTTTAAAACTCAAGACAATGATCATATTCCAACATGTATGTCTCTGGTGCTTTAGGTATCTTAGTTGACTACCTAAATAACCATTTAAATAAAACATTACCCCAACCTTCCCCCCTACAGACCCCTTTATACATCCAGAATTCCTATTATGTGACTATCGACAAATATATAAATCACCATCAAATCTGATGTTGTTAAAGGACCAATAATAGAGGGTAGGTTTTTTTTACAATGATACATTTGCATGGAATAGTCACCTCAATATCATCCTACACAATCAACACAAATATGTGTAAAATATTGACATTTGTATATTCAATTCAATTCAATTCAAGTTTATTTATATAGCCCAATATCACAAATCATATTTGTCTCAGAGGGCTTCACAAATCAACAAACACAATTGACAATGTAAACACAATGTAAAAACAACAAATGTATCTTACAAGATCAATGTGAAAATACCTATTTAAAGAGGAACATAACACAATGACACAAATACAGTTAGAGTACAATAATTAAAATTCCATAAAACGAAGGGTCCATGAGGATGTATAAAAGGGGGTTTAAAACCAGTCTTAACTGTATGCTGTACCAAAGAAGAAAGTCTTCAACCTACTCTTAAATGTGTGGACACTGTCTGCCTCCCTAATCGTCACTGGAAGTTGGTTCCAGAGGAACGGAGCTTGGTAGCCGAAAGCTCTAGCACCTGATCTTATTTTGTGGACTCTGGGAACCACCAACAGACCTGCACTCTGGGATCTTAATGCCCTGGAGGGGCAATAGGAGATTAAAAGATCCTGTAGGTAGGATGGTCCCTGACCATTGAGCGCTTTGTATGTGAGTAAAAGTATTTTAAAATCAATCCTGGACTTAACTGGTAGCCAGTGCAATGCTGCTAAAAAAGGAGTGATGTGGTCCATCTTCTTTGTTCCTGTTAAAACCCGTGCTGCAGCATTTTGTATTAATGGAAGGGTTTTTAATGATGAGTTTGGACAGCCTAATAAAAGGGAATTGCAATAATCCAGCCTGGAGGTGATAAAAGCATGGATTAGTGTTTCTGCATTGTTGTGATTTAGGATGTGCCTGATTTTTGCAATATTCCGTAGATGGAAGTAGGCAGTCCTTGAAATTTGCTTTATATGGGATTTAAAAGACAAATTCTCGTCAAAGATAACACCAAGATTTTTTACAGTGGTGCTGGAGGTCAAGGTAATACCATCCGAATAAATTATGTTGTTGGACAGTTTGTTCCGAAGGTGCTGGGGGCCTAGTATAATGACTTCTGTTTTGTCAGAGTTTAATAATAAAAAGTTGCAGGTCATCCATGTCTTTATGTCTGTGAGGCATTCTTGCAGTTTAACTAATGGAAATTGTTCACCTGGTTTAATTGATAGATACAATTGTGTATCATCAGCATAACAATGAAAATTGATGGAGTTATTCATTGCCCAATGGTAGCATATATAAGATGAATAGGATGGGTCCAAGTACAGACCCTTGCGGTACTCCATGACTGACTGTAGTTTGTATTGAGGATTCATCGTTGACAGATACAAACTGAGACCGTTTTGATAGATATGACCTGAACCAGCTTAGTGCAGTTCCCCTTATACCTATTAAAAGTTATAATCTTTGTAGTAGTATTTTATGGTCAATAGTGTCAAAGGCAGCACTCAGATCTAACAGAACCAGGATAGAGGCAAGTATATGTATATGTTTTATACTACTAAAACAGCCTGGGGTCAAATTGACCCTAAGGAACACCGATGCGTACAAAGTGTGTACAGGACATTTAAAAAAGATCTTCATGTTCATTTCATGTTTACCCATTAGTCCTCACTAAATTAGGAAAAGTAATGAAATACTAAGCAAAACAATTATTGTGAACCATTTTTTTAGATACGTTAACGGTTAAATATTGAATGGGGTCAAATTGACCCCAAGGATACTTTTTTGAATATTTCAACTAAATTATTTTGAGAATATGGAGGTTTATTCACAAATTGTTCCATGTACTCCTTAGGAAATATGTTAAACATCAAAAGACAAAGTGAAACAGTTCAATGTCAACTAATAAGCTGTTGAAATGTTAATAAAACTCTATAGACTATCCAAATAAATTGTTACCACATTATAAAATATATACAAATATCAGCAGAAATGATAATAATATATAATCAACCAGAATAACGGAAATTGCCAATGTGATTTTCTAAGCACTGATACAGCAATTGATGTATCAGGAACTCCACAAATAGATAAGCCTATATTATAAGGCAGGCCAAATCCGGCACGCCAACCATATTCTAATCAACAATTAAATTAAATTGATTGAAAATAGAAATTATTTGTTTTTGTATGGTAACTAAGGTGCTTCCTGTCGTTTAGCAAAAGTGGCCCCAGAGCAAAGCAAGTTAATCAGGAAAGAATCTCTTACTGCAGTGCCAGTTTGCACATTTCTGAAAACAATGATGCTCTACAACAGATAGCAGTGTGTCATCTGTGTAAGGAACGCACTTCTGAATGATGTGTTTGTGTGTGTTTCTCTGCAGGTGACCTTACCAATCCTCCAGGTAAAGCCTCCCTCTTTGTCTTCATTAACATTATTATGGCTCTGCTCTTCCTTTGCTGTTACCATGGTAAACATGCCCATATATTGTATTGAGCTTGTATAAAGCTGTGGATACTGTTCTGTTTCTGCAGGGGGAAATGTGTTCAACGTCTCTGTGGGCTGGGTGCCGAACAGATCTGATGGACTCAAACAGGTGTGTGTGTGTGTGTGTGTGTGTGTGTGTGTGTGTGTGTGTGTGTGTGTGTGTGTGTGTGTGTGTGTGTGTGTGTGTGTGTGTGTGTGTGTGTGTGTGTGTGTGTGTGTGTGTGTGTGTGTGTGTGTGTGTGTGTGTGTGTGTGTGCATGCCAGTGTTTGCTGCTAATACATAGATTTGTACTAAATAATTAAATATATAAAAACAAATTCCTACACTGCATAATGCTAATCTGTTTCTGCGTCTTTCCCAGCTGGTGGACATTCTGTCCATGGGTTTCCAGAACAAATTCTACAACGCCAGCAAGAAGGATCCAGCGCAGGGCTACCCGCCAGGTGTAGCAGAGTATCGTATCAACATGTCCAGTGACACGCCGCACTGGTACATCAGAGACTACATGGCCAGAGTCAGCAGCCACTATAACATGAGAGGCATAGAAGTTGATGGTAAACTACCAATCCTTTAACCCTTGTTTGGTGTTCATATTTTTGTTACTCAGCCAGTGTTCGTGGGTCTGGTGGACCGACCCGCTGCCTTTTTGGGTTTCAAGTCAACACAATCAAACTATTTTATGTTAAAATACTCAACAGATGTTTACTTAATCTCAATTACAAGCGATATAAACAGCATATATTGTTAATATTTGGCCATTTACATTTGTTAGATCACATTAATTAATTAAATTGCTACTCGTTTTTTGCCCGCTGACCGGCTGGTCCCGTGGCTCGTCTTTTTTTTGTAACTAGCTGATGCTAACACACACACACACACACACACACACACACACACACACACACACACACACACACACCTGTTTGAGTCCATCAGATCTGTTCGGCACCCAGCCCACAGAGACGTTGAACACATTTCCCCCTGCAGAAACAGAACAGTATCCACAGCTTTATACAAGCTCAATACAATATATGGGCATGTTTACCATGGTAACAGCAAAGGAAGAGCAGAGCCATAATAATGTTAATGAAGACAAAGAGGGAGGCTTTACCTGGAGGATTGGTAAGGTCACCTGCAGAGAAACACACACAAACACATCATTCAGAAGTGCGTTCCTTACACAGATGACACACTGCTATCTGTTGTAGAGCATCATTGTTTTCAGAAATGTGCAAACTGGCACTGCAGTAAGAGATTCTTTCCTGATTAACTTGCTTTGCTCTGGGGCCACTTTTGCTAAACGACAGGAAGCACCTTAGTTACCATACAAAAACAAATCATTTCTATTTTCAATCAATTTAATTTAATTGTTGATTAGAATATGGTTGGCGTGCCGGATTTGGCCTGCCTTATCATATAGGCTTCTCTGTACACACACACACACACACACACACACACACACACACACACACACACACACACACACACACACACACACACACACACACACACACACACACACACACACACACACACACACACACACCACACACACACACACACACACACACACACACACACACACACACACACACACACACACACACACACACACACACACAAACACACACACACACACACGGGACCTACAATTTCCACACTTGTGCTAGCCCCTGGACCCGAACATCCTGTATGTCATATAAATGTGTAGGGGGGGTGTACAGTGGGTGGTCATTGAAAATGTGTTCTAATATATGTTCTTCACATAAGATGAGCCAAGGCCATTGAGTGTGAGTTTGAAAAAATAATTTATCATATCATTTTTCTTTAGCTAAATAATGAAAACGGGTCCCACAGACCCGAACACCATACGTGATTTTCATCGATGTTTAACTTCAGCAAAATTATGAATTAAGATTATATATTGTAGCGGACTCTTTGTCTGTGCTTAATCACTGGCAATCAACTAATGTGCCTTGTGATGTTTCACCTTCACCATAACACAGTAACTTTCGGACCTTTTCTTAACCTTTTTTCCCCAATTTGGGATTAATCAAGTCTATTTTATTTTATCTTAATAGGATCTGTGTTCACACAAGGTTAAGAGATTTTAATGTTTTGTTCTACAACATAAAATATGCCAGTAAATTCCAAAATTGTGAATGTCTGAGGCTCCCATGTGACATACAAATGATGGTTTCTAGGAAGTGACTAAATGAGACGACAAAATACTTCTGCTGTTTTCATTCGCACTCTAAAAATCATTAAAAAGTAATTATATGTGGAGATTATCCTGCTGAAAAAAAATCATAAACATGTTTTTGCAAAGTATCTTATTCTCTACAATATTCCAAGATCCAATGGAAACTATCATTGCCTTTTGCTCACTTGGTTGGCCTACAAAATTACATCATCACTGCACCACATATGTAAAGCGGTTAAAATATTCTAAATATAGCGTACACCTAAACTGATATGGGTTTGTTTAGGTAGGCCTTTCTTCTAGGGGGCTAAAATATGCTTTGCTTCTGGTGCTACTATCTGTTTCTCAAAACTGGGGGCATGCTGACCACCATCTCCTGGTATTACAGTGACTTTGGACAGCTAACTCATACAACCCCACTCTAAAACATCCAAGCTATCACTTTAAGCAATCCAAAATACTGCAGCACTTTGTTATAAAATATATAATTGTTTTTAAAGCTCGGTTGGATGCTACTCAATCGGATGCTGTTGGTACCTGTTCATGTGGATAGTTATGTAAATTGTAATCCCTGTAATGATGCTGTATGATGTCCTTTTTGTTGTTCTGTTTATGTTTTAATGTTTCATGTGGAACCTACTTGAGCAGGTCTCCCTTGAAAAAGAGAGCAATGATCTCAATGGGATACACCTGGATAAATAAAGGTTTGAAATGAAATGAAATAAACTAAACTTCTTTTTCCACTTGCTGTTGGACTGTCCACACTTACAGATCTGGATGAGTGTAAGGCCAAGGAGGCGGTGTGTGTCTATCCTGCCCTCTGCGCCAACACGTACGGAGGCTATAGGTGTATTTGCAACGGCACGACGGACGTTGAGAAGAGCCAGTCCTGTATATTAGGTGAGGGTCTTGAGCATACTTTGCATCCAAAGTCCTATAGAGGGAGAGGACGCTGGTGCTTGTTTGTTCGCCGCTTCTCCTGTGCCCCAGAGTTTTTATCTGCTTTTAAGCTATTTTATCTGCTTTTAAGCTATAGTTACATGGCTAAACTTTTATTCTGTTTTAAAAGTGTTTTTATATCTTAAACCTCGTGATCATTGACGGTTTTGGACCTGACGGCTGTCGGGACTCACCTGCTGCATCGCCCAAATTCGCCGACTATCTTCAGCTGACTGCTTGCCTCTCTCCCGCTACTAGTGGGATAGCAGGCAGACTCCCAAGCCTCTGTTTCATTGCTGGACGTGAGGTATACTAACGGGACAGCCTTCCAGCTGTCTCATTGCTGTTAGCCCTCGCTGCTAAGGACCGCCACCAAACTTCTTCGGCGCCCGACCTGTTGACATGTTGAGGTTTTCCATTCCCCAACTTCTGAGTTTCAACCACTCCAACGCTCCAACCTGCACCTCAGTCATTAAACACCTTGGACTTCTTCGTCGGCATCGCTATATCCACCGAAGCCAAAGAAGAAGGAAAACTGTATATTCCCAGCACCGGCCACCCAAACCCAATTCAGCTTTCATCCCAGAGATACAAGACCTTCTCACTACACTATGCAACCTCTGCCAATATTATCATACTTGGAGATATTAATATTCACGTCGACTCCCCCTCCTGCCAATCTGCCACTGAGTTTCTACTACTTCTGGACTGCCTCAATCTCACACAACATGTTGATGTTGTGGCCACAGGCCAAGGGCCACACGCTCGACCTGGTCATCACAAACTCCGCCCCCATCAGCAATCTGCTAGTGTATAATCTGGGGGTGTCTGACCACAAGACCATCTGAATGGAGCTGTCTTTCCAGTCCCCACTCAGCAAGCCCAAGCGCCAAATCCGCTTCAAGGAACCTGAGGAACATCAACCCGGACACCATGACCTTGGACCTCCAGCAGCTCTCTTCCGCCAACTTCTCATCAGTAAATGAGTCAGTGGAATATTACAACCAGTCCCTTAACAGTCTTCTTGATCTGCACGCCCCCCTCAAAACCAGGATTGTCACTTTCTCGCGCTCAGCCCCATGGTACACTGGCGAGCTGCGGAGAATGAAGACAGCTGGGCGTGTCCTTGAGCGGCGGCTCAAGGCCTCAGGACTCACTGTTCACCGGTTAGCTTATCATGAACACCAGAAGGCCTACGCACAGTCCCTCCGAGATGCACGGTCCCAGTACTACTCCTCCATCATCAACAACAGTACTGGAAACTCCAAGCAACTTTTCTCCACCATAAACCACCTCCTCAAAGTCCTCTACACTCCGACTCCACTGAGAAGCAGTGTAGCAGCTTTGCCACCTTCTTCAAAAACAAAGTTGACACCCTCCGCTCCCTCCTCTCTAGCCCCTCTGCACCTCCAGTTCCAACTGCCGACCCACAGCCTGGGACAACCCAGCCTCTCCGCTGTTTCTCAGACATCTCTCAGCGAGAGGTTGAGGGCATCGTTAGGAGGATGAAGCCCTCCACCTGTGTCCTGGACCCCCTTCCGTCAGTTCTGGTGAAATCCTACATCTGTACCAAAAACCCTAGCTCCTCTGCAGCCCTGCCTTCACCCACACTTACTGCCTGCCTGGAGGAGATACAGGCGTGGATGAAGCAAAACTTCCTGAAACTCACAGCTCCAAAACCGAAGCCATTATAGTTGGCACCACACACCAGGTTTGGTCATCCACTCTCACCACCATCCCCTTCTCCGGCCAGGACATTACCCTCTCCTCGACAGTCACCAACCTAGGTGTGAAAATGGACGCCCATCTGACCTTTGAGGCTCACATTAAACAGCTGTGCAAGAACTCCTTTGATCACCTCAGGAATATCGCCAAACTCCGCCCCACACTCACTCTGTCTGACGCCGAAAAGCCTTTGTCTCCTCCAGGCTGGACTACTGCAATGCACTCCTCATCGGGATCCCTAAAAAAGCATCCAGAACTGCCCCTCCCTACCTCAAGGAACTCCTCACCCCTCTTCCTTGCAGACAACCCGCTCCTGCAAATCCAACCTCCTCAAACCCCCAAGGACCAAGCTCCGTACTATGGGAGACCGGGCCTTCTGCTCGCCTGCTCCCAGTCTGTGGAATGCTCTCCCCGACCACATGAGAGCACCACAGACCGTGGACGCTTTTAAAAAAGGCCTCAATACCCATCTGTTCAATAGAGCCTTTTCCTAGACCTTTTATTTATTACTACCCTTTTATCTATTTTTTATTGTTTGTTTTTACTGCTTTTTATTCATTCTACCGTGTTGTGTACTGTTTTTATTTTGTTCCATGCCCACTGCTTGTCGCACTTCGGGATTTGAACTCAAATATGAAGTGCGTTATAAATGAAACCCATTATTATTATTATTATCCACCCTGCAGGTAATGGCTCCAGTGTAAATAAACTGTGTGTGCCCCATCCATAAAACATTTACTAGATGAAAGACCTTACCTTAACCCTGTAATGTCTTAGTATAGAAGTGTAGCCATAGTTAAATTCCATATTTTGTAGGAAATGATTGTGTTCACTAACTTCCAAATGACTTTCTAGCATTTTAGGAACATTTTTGGTAATGACTTGACCCTTTTCAGACAGAGAACCGGTGAAACAGGTGGAAACGGACCTTGTTCTGGGCCTGGTGCTGGGGATCGGCATCCCTCTGCTGCTGCTGCTACTCCTGGCTGCTCTGGCCTGCTTCTGCTGCAGAAAGAAGACTGCGACCGGGGAGTGAGTAACACCAGAGCACCATTCAGTAGATTCTACACACCATTTGACTTAGCACACAGAATGCATGACTAATTCAATTATACACATTAGGGTTTTTGATGTATTCTTTCATTTTTCTGTGCTGACAATAATTATATATCAACCAAAGAATATGTATATTTTAAGTGCCAAACATTCCTGAAGGCTTGAAAGATGTTTCTTAAATGTTTGTAGATTGGTCCGTTTAGATTCACAATGGTTTGAAGTGGTAGACCAATTTTCAAAGATCCATAGAAAATTCAAAAAAATAATAATGTTCTACTCTTTGAAACCATATAGCCTTTATTCTTATGATCATAATTTTGCCTAGATATGTGTCTATCTTTTTTAATTTGCAGTACATAACTACGCTTTACTGTATTTTATACACAATCACAGGCCATTCCTCATCACCCACTTCTCCATGACTGGTCACATAATCCATTTCCTAATATGAACAATATGAATATTGTCTTGAGAATTAAGTCTAACAAATCTTTAGTACCGGTTGCGATAGAAACGTCAACAACAATTTCACTTTAGATTAATTTTCTGAATATATTTTATGTTGCATACAGCTTCTCCTGGTTATTCTAGATCCTTTCATGGTTGCAGTGCATGTGTGAAGAAGCTAAGACTATCAGCCAGAGACCCTTCGTGCTTTTTTCTTTTGGCACCACCCTTCTGCCATACTAAATGTTTTTTGCCTCACTAGAGTTCTAAGAATAGCAAGGTACTCTCTTCATATTTCATCCATACAACAATCATCTTCCGGTGTGCATAACTCATGTACATGTATTCTGGTATGTAATGAGCATTACTGCCTCACTACAGCCATGCTAAGAATATCTCCATAGTCAAGCTTTTTAAATCAATGGCCATTGTGGTGCATTTAAACTCTCATGAATAAAAAAACGGGATAGATAGGTCAGCAGCTTCTATTCTAGGGTTCATTTCAGGTAAGCACAACATGTAGTGCTGGTGAGGAAGACTGCACACACACACACAGTTTGACAGCCAGTGTTTTAAGGTACATTATCAAGTAGGTCTGCCCAGAGACAATCCTTTATAGCAGCTTGAAGGCTTTAAATCTTGTCCTCTGCACTGCTGCTGCAGCACTGCCTTCTCGTATTAACTTCTCAGATGGAGGACGGACTGCCCACTCTCTTACTATATTAAACAAAAAACACTTCCTACTAACAGCTTTGGTCCGAGTTATGAAACTGCATTTCGGTAACACTGAAAAAAAATCTGAATTTAACCAGTATAAGTAACGACGAGGGGAACACATCTACAGATTAGAGCTACTGTTTTCTCACACACAAAAAAGGTAAAAACAGCATACTCATCCAATTATATATTTTAAAGGAATAGATTTAAAAAAACATTTACTTCTATGTTGATGAGTGTCAGATCAGATGATTGATATCACATTTATGTCTGTATTTAAATAATGAAACTACAGCTAGCAGCCGCATGCATCATTAGCTTAGCTTAGCACAAAGACTTGTATGGGAAGCAGCTAGCGTGGCTATCTCCAAAGGTTACAAAATCTGCCTTCAAGCACCCTTAAAATATATGAATGTCTTGTTTGATTAGTCCTTACAAAAAATGAAAAGCTAGGAGATGCTATGTGAGTAAGCACATTTCAGTCAGACAACTCACGTGTTTCTTAATATGTTCATTAGAAGCAGCATATAGTTTGAGTTTGGCGTCTAGGCTCGGGCCTCATCACTCCACAGATGTACATAGAACATTGAGTGATGATTAGATAATTATCCCCCGAGCCTACAGGTGGAAGCTGGGATGGAAGCTGGGGTGGTGGTGGGGCAGGCAAGCAGCAGCAACATGAAACACAACAGCAGGAACATGAACATGACTTGCAGCAGTAGCAAGTGAACACAGCAGTGGCAGCAGCAGCATAGCGAGGCAGAGGCAGGCAGATCTGGCAGCTTAAATAGAGCGGCAAGTTAAGGAGATTGTGTTTGGTTGGTTGTAAGAGGGACGAGGCGCGTCACGTGTTAATGTATCATTGGTGCTCGAGTTGACTGCCTGAACTAGCTCGCAGGCTTGGCCCCATTTATGAGCTTAAGAGGTTCATATTGTTTCTTGGCTTTTTCCAGCTAGCTAAACTATACGGCACTTGAATATATTATTACTCTAGTATATGAGAATTGTATCAATCTTCTTATCCCACTCCTGGAAAGAAATGTCAAACTATTCCTTTAAATAATTCTAATCAGAACTCGCCTGAAAGATAACATGCATTTAGTCCTATACAGTGCTATAGGAATGATTTCTAAAACCAGAAATGAGTTAGCATTTTAGCACATCCAGTTCCCTCGTCTCAAAGTCAATGGTTTTTCGAACATATTTTTGGTTAGATCTCTGAAATAGCGTAATACAGGCTTAGGAAATGTTCATGTTTAGTTAATCGACATAAAATATGGCAGTAAATAAAATGGAAAAAAACAATTGACCCCTTTTGGTGCTAGGCTTAGTCTACAAAAACAAGTCACTTCTGTGCCACTCTATTTCGAACATGGGGTAGTGGTGCCTCTTGTGGCTGAAAAATAGTATTACAGCAACAAAGTCGCAAAAAACAACAATTTTTGCAGATGAAAAAACAACAACTTTAAAACATTTTTTTTAGCAACGTCTTTTATATCGCCTTTTAAGTCATACATATAGGAAAGAAAACCATTTAGATCAGAACTAGAAAGAAAAAAAACACTAGATTGTTTCTCACTTGCCTCTCAGGGCTTCCATAACACTCTCTGGTGTATATATATAATATCATATCACTGTAGCATAGTAAACAAAATGGATTGTACCATTTGGAATGAAAATCTGCTGTAACTGCTAAAGAACAACTCATATCCAGATGCATGTGTGCGTGTGAATGTGCATAGCAGTGCATTATAATGCTCATGAGTCCTTGGCCACAGCGTGTGTACAGATGTATGGCATCTGGACCAGGTGTTAGTGGGCCATAGAGACACATAATCCCCCTGGTGACTGGCCTGCTTTCTCTGCTATTAGCAAAGTAGACCCTATGGATATAACGGCCCTGGTCGGCAGCAGCATTGTGGGATTATGTTGTTAGATTAGAGTGAATAGGCAAAAGACAGGGAGGAGGTAATGCTGTTGTCCTTCAATAAAAAGGAATGATAGCAATACTTGGATTATGTTGTAATATAAAAACGGTCCCAGATGTAAAGTGGTGGGTTTTCAATGTTCCTTTTTTACTTCCCACCATCAAATGTAGGTCTTTAAATGGGTTTCCAGAATTGTATCTATAGATTATTATAAAATCAGCATTATAGATAACTATTTCGTTTTTTGTTGTTGTTTTTTCATTATCGTTTTTTTACAGTGGATGCCAAATGTATTGACAAAACAAAAAGTATTTACAACAAACATATGTAATATGGTCACATGCAAAGAAAATAAGGAAAAATACAAAAAAGGGTAAATAAAAAAAGGAGACAAGGAGAGGAGAGAAGGAAGTTTATTGTACTATTTGATCATGTTAATTTGTTCCATTGTAGAGGGGAGTCTCTAGCCAAGCTGATATGAAGAGGAATCAGCACGATAAACTGCAAAAAAGGAGACCAACAGATTGTATTGTCTTTTGAGGTTAAAGAAAGTTGTTCAAGGGTTGCATGATCTGTTAAAAGATTGCGCCAATGATTTATTGATCATTTGGTTCTGTCTTTCCAATGGATTCAAATAGTTTTCTTTGCCAAAGTTATTGCAATAAGGATGAATGTTTGGAGAAGTTGTGGGAGGGTTCAATTGAAGAGATCTCCTAAAAGAGTGATGAGGGGGAGGGGGGATGGAGGATCTCTAACTATCTAACTATTTTGTTTTTAAAAACTGTGGGGGCACTTTTTTCAGATAAAAAATACACAGCCTACATTACTATTGCGCGTACCCCGCAAAATATTAATATATTTACCTGTAATTTTAATCAAATAGGGCTTTCACCATATCACACATCCTGGCATAGACACAATGATACAATGGACTACTGTTTAAAAAATAAACGACTTGGTGGCAAGAACTAATAAGCCTACCTTATGCGATAATACAAATATTTCACGATATCACAGTTGTGCGTCCCACTAACATTCAATTGTTGAGTCATCCCATTAATATATTTCATACTTAGGTTCAGGTTGTTGGGGTTTTCTCGAGATAAGTTACCCTTTCATTTTTTCCGAAGTAGCATGTCCTTTTATCCTTTAGTTTTTTTTTCATCCATGCTTGAGCTACTGCCTCTTATGTCCTTCTTTAACACTGCCACTATCCAATTGCCAAGGTCAGAACATTTTTAGCAAATTATACTTTTGAAAAATATGTCCCAGCGTCCCCAGCCTAAATGACGCTCATTTGACCTAGCTGGACCTTGACTAAGCGTCAGTGAGTCTAAATATTTCACAAAATGAACTGTGATCAATGTCCAAACAAAGGATCTTTAATATTTTATTGGCAAGAATTGTGTTTTTCCCCCCTTTTATTCATAGAATGAGTCACGGCACACCAGGTTGCACAGTCTGTACCTCATTATCAGAGAGGATAGATATAATTGCACAGGGAACAACCATAATAATATACAATCCAAAACATCTGAACTGCAAATCTGCAAGTCTGGAGAAGCATTTGGGATATGCATGTTTCATATTTTTGAATCAGCTTTAAATCCAGATTTCAGCGTCTTTCAACACTCAACACAATATCTAGGCTAGAGCCCACCTGAATATTCATGAGTCACTGAGTACAACAACTGCTGCCCATTCAAACATTTCCATAAATTGCCTGAAATGATCGTCTACACTACAGAATAGAGAAATATAGACATCACTAATCAAAGCCAGAAATTCATTGAAAAGGGTACAAAATGTTCCCATTTGTAACTCCTGGCTTTAATGGAGATACATCAACAGTTACAGTTTCACAGAACATAATGATCCACATGATACAGGCTAAAGAGAAACTGCTGCAGCCAAAGCACTGTTTTTGTAGGCATTGGTCATAGTAAGAATTTGGGCTATTTTACCTCCCTATCACATCTATGCATATTTATAATGTGCTTGAAGTGTCTTGCCTGTGCAGGACATGATATGGACACTGTTCTAAATGATATGCTACTTTACAGCATACTGAAAGGTTGACTGAGGTGAGTTCTTGTTTATTCCTGCATTCTGATTGGCTTATCTGTTTTCCTCCAGGCTCCCTCACATGGTGCCAAACCACATCCAGGAGCAGTACAACCCCCCGCCCTTCAACTACTCGGACCCCGCCCTGCACTACATAACCCACTGCAGCCCCCGGATCCTGGACAACTACACACCCAGGCAACGCTACAGATAACACACACCTAAACCACACACACACAGACATAGCTGCAAATCACAAACTTACAAACAAAGCATTTTGAGAGCCACTGTTTTATAAAGACAAGATGAATGACTCTTATTTATATGGTAACAAACAAATAATTAAGCCTGAGTGACTTTTAAAGTCCATTATTTCCATCCTCTCTGCTGAGCAATGGACCTGCCAAGTTGGAGCAGGACGTTTTTCTTTCTGCCAGGACGACAGTTTACGGTCCGAGTCTGACCCAGCAACAATCTCTTGGCTGGAGACAGTGATGAAAAAGTAAACCACTGCAGTGCAGCTGATAGTAGGCCAAGCCTCCATTATAGCAACATTAGCGTCCGCCAGAAAGCCTAGCATCAGGCTCCTCCTGCCCTCTGTTCATAATTAAGTTGAGTTCATTATGGTTCCAGTCCCAAAAAGTACAGTAAGCCTTCTTTATTTGCATCACTCATAATCACCCGAACATAGTTGATTCAATTTTGATTTCATATTTATAGAGAGAAGGTGACACGTTTTTTTATAAAAGCCTTCGTCCCACTTTGGGATAACACTCTAAATATTGTTCACCGCTGGATTGTGTCCCAGTTAATTATACACAGCAGAGTAATTCAGTGCAGCTGTCTTTTGTAAAGCTGGACTATCACTGCAAGTTAAAAAAAGATGTGTGAATATAATGTTAACCATTAAAAGTGTCAATTAGAAGTGATACAAAAAAATTAAACACAAATATTTTCCCTATTAACTGGAGAGCTATTCATTAATCTAGATTGGTTTGGTTTGAGATGCCAAGTGTTTGACTGTAGTAATTTATACCTTCACTTAAAATGAAAGAACTACATTGCACTCTGCTTGTGTCAAATATATTTGAAAAACTCAACAGAAATGTGTCTTACCAGAAATCCTGACCCTTCTTATGATCAGTTTCTTGAGGAATTATTGTCTTAATCACCGCGCAGAGGGAAGAGTGCATCTACTCTGCTGTCCTTAGTGAAAAGGGGAAAAGAAAATAGTTTGTTGGCACTTTTATCCCCGGAAGCACAGTGCTATCAAATTCAAATAGCTTTATTGGCATGACCATAATGACATACAACATTGCCAAAGCTATATACAATCACAATATCTATACATGAATATACATTTGGAATGTATTGTTATGTTCATATACATTTTGAACAGAATCAAGAATTACAGGTTTTCTTCACAAGGAAAATAATGTGCTTTTTGGAACATGAAGTAGAAAAATAAATCAATTGAATTATTGTGCTGGATAATGCTGATAATAAATTATGATAACTTGATGTAATACATTAATAAGAAAGAAAAAAAGCAGTAAAAAAGGAGAAAATAATAATAGAAATGAAAAAGACGTGAGATGTGAGACCTGGTGTGGATGTAGCAGGCAGGCTAATTCTATCATGCTGTAGTTATATTATATTTAAGATAAGGTAGACATCTCTACAGCTTTTATTTCCAACATTTGGCAACTCACACCAGAACAATCTAGATTGATAAACAGATAAGAAAAAAAACATACATTTTTTATTCCGGGGTTAGTCGTCCCTTTAATATGCATAGCAGAGGCTGTGCCAAGAAGCAACAGATATCTGACTGCGTGTAGTCAGCAGAAAAAAGCTCTAACACGAAACTGTTCTAAGATTGAGCCTCCAGGGAAAAGATCATTGTTGAGATTTTCCGGGATATCTCTTCAATGGAAAAGCTGACATACTAATTTAGAAAATGCCTACGAGTAACTGAACTGTTATCGATCAACTGAGATTGTACACATGTCTGAACGGCTCCTGACTTTTTTTTTCGTCGTATATGTTCAAAGTTTTGTATCGTTTGGGCTGGTTTGTATGGATGTTGTCATGTTCAGTCCAGAGCTGAAACGTAAACAATTAAAATAATGAAAAGAAGTGACGCTTTTCAAACACTGAAGCATAAAAGAGATTTGTTCTTTTGTTTTTATTGACAATCAGGAGAACATTTATCAATCTATACAGTCGAATAAACTTCAATAAGAGCATCGAAATTGAAGTTTACTTGCCAAGGTTTTAAATAAAAAATTTGTTTTTTATTTATTCACGGCTGGAAGAAGTTCTCGGCCTCATGACGTAAGTAAACGTTAGAATCCGACTGTGTAAAAATACTTAATTACAAGTTCTGTTAGGAATTTTAACGCATGATAATGCGTCATATATATATTTTAAAATAACTATTGTAATCAAAGTAAAATAACAAATGTAATGCAGTTAAAATAACAAGACTTGAAGTAGTGGAACAAAGTCATGCTTTGATGATTAAAAGTAAGTAATACATGCAAATGTATTTTTAAAACATGCATCCTACTCATTCAATGCATGAGAGTTTGACTCACAGTAAATTCAAAGATAAGAGGTATTACCAGAAAAATACTTTATCAAAAGACATCAGAATGCAGAAAGGCCCCTATCAGAGTCTCAAATGATTATGTGCATTCAAGTTTTAGAGGTATTGGTCTGAAAACCCAAAAATAAGTTTGCATTGTTCATTAATTATTGATGTATTTACATGTAAACAGTATTTTAATTGTTGAGGTGGTTCTAGTTTCATAGTTTAATCATAAAAATGCATGGTATTATATGTGATGATCCTGTTTTGGATCCTTTTGAATCTGCAAGTTCCAAGTAACGATGGCTGTGTATATACTAGTAGAATGAAATGGAAATATTAAAGCCAAGTAAAACTATTTCAGAGTTGTACTTGATTAAAAGTACTTCACTTAATGTATTTACCCCCTCAATGCATTAACAACAATTAAAGTTGTACTGTTTTCACATCTCTCTGCAATCTCTTCTCCAGCCACCAGGTGTCACAGCTGAGTCTTCCACACAAGTCAGATCCATCACATTTGCTTATGAGTATAGTTTGAGCAGAAACGCAGCACTCTCACAGCCCCTAACGCACCCACAGTCACACACACAGGCACAGCCGACGAGACGCCCGCTCTGCAGCCTGGATTCATCTGGAAGTGGCCTCAGCATGCGGTGGATCTGCCCCCCCTGCAGGATGAGATCATCTGAGAGAGAGGCGCGGAGCGAAGGCAGCAGCCCTGCAGGTCCCTGCCACTGCAGAGACAGACCTGGCCTACACTGCAGACAGGGTCAAGGACAGGGCGCTGCTAAAAAACCCTGCGCCTGTCACTTCCCTATTGTAGTTACGCACTAAAGTACCCCTGCATCACCCTCTGCAGTGCGTCTCCATTGCACTGGTTTTACTTTCTACATGACTGATTGACAAAGTGAACTGAGACACATTATTTGTAGAGGGAACTTCTGGGAAATAATACAAATCCATAGCTAGTACAGCTCCTGACACCTGTTTTCGACAAAAGCACAGCTAACGGTGAAAAACAGCCACTGAGGATGAAATCACCTTAGCTTTTGTAGTGCCACACTTCTGGAAGGTTCCAAGTAGCACCGTTTCATGCGCCGAAGGCTGCAGTGTTTGAACTCCAGCCTCACACTGACTGCAGCAGACAACCTGGAGGCGAGCCAGTGAGGGAAGGATAGAGGGAGAAAGGGAGAGGGACAGAGTTAGAAGGAGAGACAGGAGGGTAATGAAAAGTGAGGCAGAGCGGCGATCAACAGCGGGAGATTCTATTTGACAGCCAGTAAATGGTTTTGTCCCTCCGATCCCCTCAAATAAAGCGACTGGTTTAGAGATGTTAGATGATCTAGTACCACGGTCACAAACAGAAACACGTTAAGAGGGGGGATAGAAAGCTAAGTGCATGCCTAACACTGTATCCATTTCATCACAACATGATTGAAATAGGCAGAGGATAGCAGGCCCCCGACCAAATCCTCTTATCCGATTTGAGGCCATTAATCATTTCTGCCTCATGATGTAATTTTGGGAAACATGTCATTTCTCAGTAACAGGTACGACAGAATGGGATTGGCTCATTCAGACTGTTGTGTGCCATTATTGCATGGCTGTAAAACCATTCACGCTTAGTGGTTTGCTGTCATCAACTTTGTCCGATAGACTCGGTCTTTGGCCCCTGTTTGCTGGGAAGCATTACAGGTAATCAAGGATTCTTCTTGGAAGCTGGTCAGATGTGGTCGAAATTGCCTTAGGTCATAACAAATAAATGAACAGCTCCTTCCCTCTCGTATGCAGAGAATACAGAAGATTTGCAAAGTGGCATATAGGCTAATCTCACACATGCTCTGCACGCGCAGATGTTGAAACACACTCGACAAACAGATGACACGCACACAATGTAAAGGTCTTTTCACTCATAGTAGCTTTGACATCCATGAGGCACAAACAACTGCCATGGTTGCCCATGAAAGGTGATCCACTCCCTTGGCAAGGAACCAGCAGGTGCATTACAAAAACCTCATTCATTAATAATGCCGTCCGCGTCTTTCAGTTACACAGTAAACATCTCATATTTGTCACTGGCGCCCCATCCCTCAAAGTCCTCGCAAGCCACTTATGTTCTCAAATTGGCTTTATCTTTAAGCTTTTTGCTCGAAAGCTGCTTTATTTTACAACATGATTGCGCTTAACACCACACCGCTCACAGGGCTATACCACATTCTGTACCTCACGTGCCGTGTGACAACCCGTAGCCAAATATTGAACTTTTCCTACAAAGGTAACAAAGCTAACTGCTATCAGCGGGAGTGATGCTACGGGCCGTTGGGGGAGGGTGACATTAATGAAGATGGAGGGGTGCATTCAGCCTTGCCTCTGCCGAACGAGAGGGACCTTTCGATCCCTGTGGCATGGAAATAAAAGCTGCTGGTTTAGAAATGTTCTGGGAAGGGCTGCGGCCGATAAGGGTAATTATGCGAGGCAGTTACATATTCACAAAACTGATAAGAGAAGGAGAATAGTTAGCACAGTGCGTAAGTGCATGCACACCATAGACTGATGCACACACACGGATTAATCTACATAAAAAAAGAATAAGTTACCATAGAGAAACACACTGTAACACAAACTGTGCTCTGCTTCCTATTGTGAGGAAGTCTTATATCACGGAGATTGATTTCAGGCTTTATAGACCGTTAAGTCACAGCTCCTGGGTTCCAATATTCCCTATCCTTATTAACCTCCAACCTAAAATCACCTTTGACCTGGATCAGGTCCTCGGGACCTCATTGAAGGGCATGTCATCACCCAATCAAACAGCTGATTCTGCAAATTGGGTGGAGGGCGGCTATAGAAATTAGGCAGGAGGACAAAAGTAGAAATGTTAAGGAGTATTTATGATGCAATAGCAAACCACTGTAGGTTCTTCTAAATTAAGCCTTAGCCTGTGATTGCCAGAAGAAATGCATTTAAGTATTCAGAGGCCATATGAGCTTCTTACAGTGTTTGAAAAGTGTTTATGCATAAAGGTGGAAATCTATACACTACACTATACACATTCTTCAGCTTATCAGGTTCTTGTGACAGCCCTTTCTGTCGTCACCTTTGACATTACATAATCTGCACGCTGATAAAAACCCTGTAGCAGAAAACAGATTTAAATTAAAGGAATCCAATGTGCTCCAGATTAGGTAGGTTGGGGGAAAAAAGCATGGCTGATGCTAAAGCTGCTCAGCAGATCACATGGCACAGGCAGCATCACCTCTGCAAGCAGCGCAGATGGAAGTGGGAACCACTTTGGATCCTCATTTTTTTCTTACAGCTACGTGTGAGATATTGAGCTTTTCACAATCCCCTCTCTCTTCTTATAGTGTGACATCCATGTCTAATAATAAGAGAGGCAGTGGAATTGGAAATAAGTGGGGGCTGCTTTTTGTGGGACATGGAGATTCTAGTACATTCTCTGCGTGGTGCTTCAAATCCTTCTTGCACATCCCTGTCCACCCTCCTCCTCCTCAGCATCTCCCATGGGAGCAGGCCAGAGACAGGTGGTCAGTGTGGGAGATCAGTCAGGCATAAGCAATCAGGCTATCAGATACTCCCATCCACACCAGCAGCTCAATTAGAACTGAGAATCCACAGTCACCCATGACAGCAACACCAGCAACAGACCCAGTCGCATATCAAACATCTAAACGTGCGTGCACTAACCCAACACACACACATGCACGGACTTATTACCAACTATTACACTCAAACACTTCAGGCTTGACACTGCATCTCATTATGTATAACATTTGAAGTGATGGAGATTTGCACAGCCAACAAGATAATTTATTAACTATCCGAGTATGTGATAACCTTGTAACAGCAATACAAAATAAAAAAGCATGGGTGTTAATATGCTTATAAAAACACAAAACAATGTTCTCAGAAAATGAGAAAACTGCAGCAACAGGAAATGCATGTAAGCACAAACTGGGTCAGTAATATCACAATAATAACATATGCTCCTGGTAGCTAATTGCTTATCAAAACGATCTTGTTGGGTCCCCCTAAAGATGATGCCCATATGTATACACACTGTGCAACAAGCTTGTCTGCTATGCCTGTGGCACTGGCTGGGATGTCTATGGACAAGATGCAGCGGCAGCGCAGACCATGGGAGTGACGCATTGCAGGTACAAACACACCAATCAGAGAGCGCGATTTCTTTCAGCTACGTCTTGTGCCGCATCACAGACTAGCAGAAAGTATTCATACGCCGTCATTTAGACCACCAGCAATACACGATATAATGTATAATATCGACGACGAAACCTTCACAACAACCATACGAGGCAAATTATGATTATTTTCCATTTTTATAGATATTTTATAATTTCTTTAAAAGTGTTTTCAAATAATTTAATATCCGAGGAAAAGGGAAGATGGCGGAGGGATATTGAAAAGAGGAGGAGTTTAGGATAGCCGTTAAAGGCGAGTCCTGCTGCCTCTTCCTCAGTGTGTTCATAGAGATTGTCAGTCCGTTTAGGCTTTGTGTTGGCTTTGGCTTGTTACGGATTT